GTGCTTCTTGGAGATACTCTTTAGCCTTGTCGTATTCCCCGAGCGACTGAAGCAACGCTCCTAGGTTTCCGTAACAGGATGCTTCTCCTCTTTTGTCGCCAATTTCGGTTGTTATGGCAAGGGCCCTCTGAACATACTCCTTCGCCTTTAGGTTTTCGCCACGTTGATAAAACATATTTCCGAGTCTTGTGCAGGCGATTGCTTCTCCATTTTTTTCACCAGTTTGTCTCTTTATACTTACTGCTTTTTCATAAAGTTTTTTGGCATCTGTAAACCTGTTTTGACTCTCAATTACCTTTGCTAGAGCCATGCTTACATCTGCCTCTTCTACTAAGTCACCAGTCTCGCTGAGTAAGACAAGCAGTTTCATGCCGTATCTTTCCGCACTGATGTAGTCAGAGATACTACGATAAGCGCCAAAAAGAGCTGTATAAATGAACCTGTAAATTAGTAGCAGTAGTGAAGTAAATTGGTCTTCGCTGTTTTGATCGGTGTTATTTAGCAAAATCAAACATTCGTTCCATATCTCAATGGCTTTCTGAATGCGATCTGAGTTGAACAGGAACAGGGCAACGTCTAAGGCGATGTCCATGAAAGCTATCATGGCTTCCGTCTGCCGTTTGGTTTCTCTTGCCATCCTCTCCTGTTATTAGGGAAACATTACTTTTAGTAACACAAGTTAACCAAATGATTCGCTAATCTGAATTCATAATGAGTCGCTAAAAACAGGAACCCATATGTGAAGTTACAAAAACGGGCTGAGTCGATTACTCCTGGAAACTTCTTGTAACGAGCTGAAAGTGTTAGAATTCAAAATATCGACTGAACACAAAAGTAAGTGAAGAAGAGGCGTGGATAAGTACAACTGGAGCACATCAACGGATCACATTCGGGAAAACTTGTCAAATCAGTTTGACCTGCACAGTTTTTTGAAAACGGACTGTGTGATTGTCACACCGTGAAAGTCAACTGTTATCCAAGTGACTTTTGATCTAGCTGTTTCGTTTGTTCATCTTATCAAGTAAAAAAAAAAAGACGCGCGCTTGAGTTTGACTAATGGTCGTGCGTCGGGGGCTCGTGCTATCAATGAGGGGCTTTTTAAAGGCAGTGGGTTTCCTAAAAAAAAAAATAGAGGAAGGATTGGTAAACCTTTTACCACAACGTTCAGGGAACATTTGAAAATGTTGTTCTAGCAGTTTATCACCAAGTAATGAGCTTACTTATCTGAAGTATTTGGCTGAAAACATAGGATAGATTTTAGTTTTGATCACGTGATTGTGGAAACCATCAGTTTGCTTAACAATCGTAGCTATTGAAGTTGAAATATATTGTATAAAACCACAAAGGTTTGAAGAAAGTAATTTTACCATAGAGATATAAAGCATCCGTTCAGCGGAAAAGCACGTTTATACTATGTATGCAATTACAATGAATATAAGTAAGTTTCAGTTTCTCTACTGAAGAAAATTAAACATCTCTTTTTTTTCGTAGCGCGCGGCGTCATAACTTATCTTCTTATGCGAGACTCTGGCGCTTTAACAGAAAAAGATTACAGCCTTTAGGAAAATATGTACCGTAGAACCCGCCGCTAGTATCCAAAGATTTAAGTGAAGGGTATCTCGATCATGACACACTTGTGTACAAGTCGAATCTACCGCGATCTCTGAATCATTCGTTGGACTCTCATAAAACAAAGTCAAATTAATAGCTAATGCTGACCAAAGCCATTGAAAAATCACGTAGTGAACCACCACGGATTTCCTTCAGCGAGGAACAGTCCACGACATAAATAGAGCCGGGTCTGATTTGTATTTTATAATCATCAATTTCTCAAATTGAACGATACTCAATAACCTTAGTTAACGAGGATAAATTATACGGTATAAAGCCACAGAGATTTGAAAAAGTCGCCGTAGAACGAGTTTATTTAACTGTGGTGGCGATGCAATAGCACCATTAACAGCTTTAACGAAGGGCTAATGCTCGAAACGAGACAAATACATATTGCAAACGCAAGGATCGAAAAATCAGTTATTGGGCTTTGCCATAAGAGCCTTACCTCTCTACAGTTACTAAAGCTGATAAAAGCGAGTGACTAGAAAAGATTTTCCATCGCACTTACCAAGATGTTGACAATGTGGCTGACGCTTTGAAAATGAAACAACAAAAATAACGAATTACAGTCGGGATTTTTTCTTTCCGAACTTCCACCCTCTCAGTGTTTTGGGTATCCAGATCACTCGTGTTTGAGGTTATTTCCTTCCCCCCTCTGGGCTAATTGAAATAAAAAGGAAAAGTTATAATTGTATAATTTTTTTTGTGTGCTCCAATGCCTATCTATCGCGTCCTATTTTGGTCGAAATTTTCAGCAGGTAGTGGTCATATAATAAAATGCTTATTGATGTGAGTTTGGTTTGGCTCTCGTTCATGAAGCAAGGACCACGCTGCGCTCGGTCCGTAGGTCATGACCCCGAGCCAAATTTTAGTTCCCGTCCGACCCTACCACTCAAGCAATGAGTACACAGTATTTCGGTTTTGTACGTCACACTGTTATCACTAATGATGTAATTGAACGTGAAAAAATGAAAAGTGTTATTCTTTTTTATTCTTTTTTAATAGTGAACTTCAGGCTTAAGTGTTGACCTCTTTGAAAGGTTTGATTTTCATCACAAGATCGACCGCAGTACAACCTAAGTTTCTTTCTTTAAACGGTAAGCTATCTGTGCGTGACGATCGACTCCTTGTCTTCGTGAACTTTTCACGAGTGTGATTTGCATGATCGAAGCCAAAAATGCTAAAAAAACTAAGTGACTGTATTTCGGTTTGGCACGTCACACCTTTATAACTAAGGATGAGAAAGGAAACATTTTACCCTGTTTATGATGAGAAACGTTAGGCTTCAGTGTTCATCCCTTTTGGAACCGTTGGATTTGCATCACGAGGTCGATCAGATCGAGAATACAAATAAAGCTTCCGTCTTTAAACGGTAAGCTATCTGTGCGTGAAAACTGACCCACTGTACTCATGAACTTTTCATTTTCTTGCGGGTGTGATTTGCATGATCGAAGACAAAAATAGTAACTTTTATAATACATAAAAAAACGGACGAACTGGATCGGTAATTTGCTCGCAAATAACTACATCACCTGTCTTACCTTTGAAGGTATTAAATACAGTGACTGAAAAATGGCAACAAGCAAATGACATCAGAGAGAGGACTTAGCTTGACTTTCAGTGATAAACAATGGTTATAGTTAATAGTTTAACATATTTCTTTTGGGAAGAGGAGAGAGCTGGAGAAAATGGACCGGACCACAATTGCGTTGTAGGATCCGCGCATCCGGAAGGCACTCTCTTGAAAACTCCCAACGGAATTTCGCGCTGCTTTAACCTTTTTGTTTCCTCTTTTCCTCTAACAGTTGCAAGAAACTTGCAACTAGAGGGCACTAACACCGAGCGATTATTTGAATGATAAAAGTTTTATATAGCTTGGGTTCTTCCCTGTCTTCGAAAAATAACAAACAATTGCAAGCTTGACAGGCTTGCTTCCCGTTTAATTTAGTATTGATGTCAACTTTACCTGATTTCTCCAAATTCGGGGAAACTTCGTGTTCCAAGGCTACACGGTCAAAGCCAAACAAGTCACATTTGAGAATTATGGGCTCACTGTAGTAGAAGGAGGGTCTCAATGGGGTGATGGCTTTTACGGCTGAAGGTTCCAACTCAAGCGAATGAATTTCGGTTTCGTACGTCACACTTTTATAACCAATGATTGAATTGAACATGTAAAAATAACTTATTTCTTAGACTCCCCAGCGTTAAGGGGAACTGGAGGAAACAAAGAACTGCATATCATGCTGTAAATGACTTTAATTTACTTAGCCAGGAAATATGAGAATCTGCTAATATTAATACATTCAAGCGACATGTTTTTAACTTCTTAATGTAATTCTTAATTACAATTCCTTTTTTTCTTTTAATTTTATGTATATATTTTAGTCTTAATCTACGAGGTCCTTTTCTAAAACCATTTTTTGTGAAAATAAAGATTTTTTCACAATAAAGATTATTATTATTATTATTATGTTACTCGGTTCATCCATGTAAGAAGCCCTTTTTTACTTCGGTAATTATCTTTACAAGTCAGAAGAATTTTGTTATGTTAACATTCACTTTCTCGTAAAGACAACCACATTATAGGCCTCAGTGCACGCTTTTTGTTAAATGAAGTCCAGCGATTGGTCAGTATTTCAACCGCAATTTCTAGGAAAAAGGCCTCAGGTGACTGCAATATATCTCATAACGCTGATGGCTAGTATTTCAATTAGCTTTTCTCGAAAAAAAGCCATCTCTATTTTAGTTAATATGCTTGAATAACGTCCTTTGGTTGGCTGGTATTTTAATCAGGTTTTCTTGAAAAAGAAATTCACTATAGAGAGTTGAGTGCTTGGCCATTATTAAACTAATTCCAGTGAGTCATCCTCTCTGGAAGTTCCTTTGCATTCCGATAGAATATACAACTTCATAAATGCATACACGAATATCCCATCATACTACTAGTGATTCATGGAAAGCCCGGATCAGGCTCACCGTTAGTGATCGAAGAAAACCAAATAGGCCGAGCGAAAACATAACGGCGAAAGTTAACAAAAGACGGCAAGTTTACCTGCTTTAGTCTGCCGCTTTTCGCTCGTCCAATTTTGCAATCATTTCTACTGAACAAGTCTCACACAGACTGGATGAAGGAAAAATTGAGATTTGATCTTTTTGGGAAGTGAAAGTAACGTCACATGTTCTAATATTTTTTTGAAGACAGGTATGTCAGCGAGCAAGTGAGAGCCATTGCAAAGAGCATTATTTACGAGCAAGCACACAGGGATGGTATGGGCGTATCTGTGCTATGAAGATGGTTTCTTCTTAATGAATGTTTGCATTTTTTTCGAAACTAATGGCTATAGAGATATTCCTTAGCAAAAGGCACCAAACCGATTTTTCTCAGTGCGTTTGTTGTTTTATTGACGCTTAAAAACAATTTTTATTCAATAAATGTTTTCAATTCAAATACCAAAATCTGCTGGGCTCGATGTTTCTATGTCGTCTCAAACATCGTTAACGAGAAAGGTCGAACCTCGCTTCAATAAGTTTTCTTTTTATTGAAATGTTTTTGAAAATCTACTGTTTCTCATTTAGCTGAATGACCTGTTTGCCCAGGAGACTGTCTCACAGCCTGGGAAATAACCATCTTTGTGACTTCTTTATCATCCATTAATAATCTCATTATCATTAATAAATATGTAGTATCATAATGTTTCCACTACACAATGCACAATCAACCTCGATTCATGATCCTCTCTAAACCTGGGAATGAGGTTGACGAGGCGATCTACATCGGTATGGACTACATCGAGAGAAAAGTGATAATGCACCACACTAGAAGTGTACTTTGTCATGATGCACGACCACAACTTTTTGTAACGATATCACAAACGTTGATCAGGTGGGATAAAAGCTCGTTTAACATAGACGGGAATTTGCTAATCTTAGATCACGTTTTAAAAATATTGTCTCCCTGAGTTTTGGATAATTATATTGTTAACTATATCCTGTTAAATATTTGGGTGTTTCAGAACGAGTTTCAATTAGGCGTCGAAAGTTAACAAGGATGAGATTAATTTTCTTTACTTCGCAACGTGATTGGTCTACACAACTCACGCAGTTCCCTCAGCCAATCAGATACAAATCTAAAACCAATCGCGTCCTGGTCACTGACGTTTCCCGCGCTTGAGGTAGCTTTGAGTTCTCATTGGCTCCTTGTGATATAGGTCGCCGTGATAACTAAGTTTTTGGTTTTTCGACACTCAATGGAAAAGCGCTCTAAATCCAGTTTTGAGAAATGTATGTACATAGTTCACTAATCCTCCTCAGAATCAGCGGAGCCTTCATCATCAGCGATGTCCGGCATGGGGAAGCGCAAGATTGCCGCAACACCGGACAACTGGCCAAGCTCTGCAAGACGTAAATAAGAAATATAAAGTTGTAGGAATTTTACATCATGATGGAAAATTACAAGAAGCTTATATTTAAAGAAAGGCGTTATTCGTTTCGTCACGAGCGTGAGGCAAAGGAAGAAAAAATAATCTATGTTCCCTATGAGGTATCGAACCCAGGCCATAACAGTGGCGGAACTAGAGGGAAGGCGCGAGGAGGTCTTGAACCCCCTTACCCCCCCCCCCATTCAAACCCGTGGGGGTTTTCTTATTACTTGTCTGACACCGACATTCTCTCCCAACGACAGGATCGCATATTACAACTCAACTGATGTTTTCTTTAGTAACGGGGGGGGGGGGGGGGGGGGGGGTTGAGAAAGGGGGGAATTAGCAGGCGTAAGTTAAGAAGTAATTTTGGACCCCCAATTAAAAATTCTTAAATCCGCTCTGCATGAGTTGTGTCGTCTCTGACAAGTACTCTACTTGCTGCTTCTACCAGCAGTGCCGAAAGTGTCGTGTTAGTAAACAGAAAATGAAAGGTGGCAAATGTTGAGCTCGATCGTCGAATATTGAAAGATATTATTCGTTAATTACGACAACGTACAAAAAAAGTGCATACGTACGTTCTCCAGAAACATGTAGACTTGAAAAAACCCTGCATTGAATGAAAGCAAATTTAAACCCTTTCAAGTCCTACTGCTAAACTTTGAAACATTCCACCGCGTTAGTAACTAGAAGCTCGTAACAAACCTGACTTCGCCGCCATTTTCTTTAACACTTTCAACAAGCTTGACATATCTTTTACGAGTTGGCAAATCTGTCGACCTAAAAAGACATTCGAGGAAAAAAAAGAGAGAGAAATAGTACAGTTGTAATATTTCACCATAAACATTGTTGATTTGAGGTTTTTGCCAAACCTTTCGCAATTTGAGCAGTATGATCAAACTATCAAACTCTTTCCAAAATCAACACACTGACTTTTATTGATTTGGTATGTCTGTGCACTTTAAGATTCACAAGACAAAGGGCCAGAAAGTTGATACTTCGTACGGAGTGTAAATCGCAGGTTAAAAGAACTGATGCGCCTAAACTGCCTCTTTTCCTAGCAACATATTGAAAGAATCACCACACTCTGGGAAATTCCTTTTGCAATTTTCTAATACTAACCACTTTTTAAGCTGATACATTATTTTTACTTTGAGGGACTAGTTAAAATGTGAATCAATTCTAGAGTTCTCATTTAGATACGCGGTCGATTTTCAACTACAAAGCAGAAAGGAAAAACATGTTCTTTCAAGATGAAAATAAGCTGAACTGAATTGTAAAAGATATCGTTATCATTCGTTCCTGACCTGAAAAGTTCATCAGTGACAAGCAGCGTTTCGATTGCCAAAGCTTCATTGGCCTTCTCCACATGTGTAACGCTAATTAAAGAAGAAATTACAGATGCTCTGTTGAAAATCTGAACAATTTCACCAAAACAACGATTTTCCTTTGGTTAAGTCAGCCCTCGAGCCGAGTAGCGCACATGGATAGTGTACCATTCTCCCCGGGTTAAGAATGAAGAAATGTAAAATGGTTTCCGTGTTTACATAGCCTGATGTAAACACGCGGGAGCGAGAAGAGAGAACACGAAAAGCGTTAGGAAACCACGACGCGAAGCGGATTTGAATTATTTTAAAAACCATTGGATTTTCCATCACCTTTGAAGATGTTGATGTAAGTTCAACGAGTCTCAAGTGCAACAATAAACGCTCCTCCCTTGAGTGTCATGAAACCAAAACTAAAATAATCACAGCGGCCAACTTGAGCAAAGGAAAGATTTAGCGCCAAAACATGTAACTGTCTTCAAGCGCGGGAAAACGTGGGTGACTCAAGCGCGATTGGTTTTACTCTTAAATTTGATTGGTTGAGTGAGTGGCGCGAGTTTTCCAGGCCAATCACGAGGAGCGTTGAAGACAAACAAATGCAAACCGCATGCTTAAGACACTCAATTGAATACCGAACTGAAAAGGTAACATCATAATAAAGTGAAGGATACGTCACAGCAAATAGACCTACCCATAATAAGCTCTGTCGGGTTCTGTATGTAACATTGTGAAGAAATTATCCAAAGCTTTTACTTCGCTTGATGCCTGTTACAAGTAAAATGAGAAAAAAAAATCAGCAGAGGATAACCGACTACGTCGAGACATTTCTCGTCACTGCAACTGTTGACGAGACCTGTGATTCAGAATGCTTTTTATGTTGAGTGTCGTTAAACCAAAACCAAAGTTTATCACAACAACCAACCAACACTTTTCCTTTTAAGATATAAATCTAAACAATTTCGACTTACCTTGGTGTCTGCAAGTCTTGCAGTGACAGTAGGATCCGCCAGAACTTCTGCACATCATGCAAAACAAACACATGGGTTAAGCCGTTTCCTCTCGACTGCAATTCATTAGATGTGATTTCATTAAAATCAATTTCGAGATCCGTGGAAGGTTCTTTATATCCTCACCTTTGAGCGAATGTTTGTGACCCGATGATGAGTGAGCCTGAAAAGGAAAAAAAATCGTACACGCTCTAGTGAGCCGCGCCCTCTATCTTAAGCTCCCTCTATACTAAGCCACCCTTTCTATTGAATTGAACCCCCCTCTCTAATAATATGCCCCCCGTCTTGAACTTCAAGTGTTTTATCAGCCCCCACCCCCTACTAATAAGCCCCATGCTCTTCCCCCCTCCCCCCGCCCCTTGACAAAATTCTTATGTAGTAGTTTTACTGCGTATCGTTCGCCTGGAGTCCCTTTCACAGCCGTTCTGTTGAATGGCATGCAACACTTGGGGGAGTGTTACGTGAGATCGCAAAGAATGGCAGATCCCGCCTAAAAAAAAGGAGAAATGTGGCCTTTGTCCTGTAGGCTATCCAAGTTCAATTAAGTTACAATTAAGTTCTAACAAATCTACAACGTTTTTAAATCTAAACTTACCAAGAGAAATTTTGATTTGTTATCAATGATTGCTTTCCAATCATTCTTTACAGCTTGTTGGAACATATAATCACAAAACTGATCCTGCAAATATCATTTAAAACACCTACTTCACCACATTGGTTACTCAACACTAATAATAAAAAATATACATAAAGAATTAAAAGAGACATCTTAATTACTTTAGTTCTCACTATCAGTTAGAAGATGAAGAAATACTCCTTCCTTTTTCTTCTTTCTGAGTTGCAATGTATTTTTCTGTGCTTGAAGAGGAGCTGAGGGGTATAAGTTATAGGCAAATTTTCCATACACACCGTATGCTGAACTGTAGGGATTTACAATTCTGCTACTATTTCATTTTCTAACATTAGCTTAAAGCTTTTTTAAAAAAATTAACCACGTTACCTGAAAATCATATCAGTTACATAAAACAGACATAATCAAAGTGCTCTGTGAGCAAACTCGTGAATTGACACATGATTTTTTGGATTATGTTTAATGTTATCTGGGTTAGGGAATTTTGCGGTTGATTGTCATATCTAAAGTACGAGCAGTAGTTCAGTGTTCGCTAATGTAGCAAAGAAACAAAGTAACGTTGGGATAAGAAGGCATTACAATTGAAATGATCATGCTATTGCATTTGACAAGGGTGGATGATGTCATGTGTTTTAAACGTATATCATTTCCGTTTCTGGTTCAAAAGAAAAGGTTGGAAGTAAATGTTGGTGAAAAGTGAAATTTACTGTCTATCATTGTAAATATTAGAAAATCAAGGCAATACTTTCTTAATGAAAACATTAACGATTCCCTCTTTATCAAATGAGACAAACGGGAACGAGTTTTGAGTGATATAACTAAGCCAAGACTGCCACCGTCACTTTGGATCTCCGCCTGGGTAGATTTTAGTCACGTGCTAGGCAACGTATAATCAATAACAAGATAAAATTTCATTTTAGGCCTATTTATCAATTTTGTGGTGTATAACTTTCGCATTTTAGTACGTAATATGTATTTTGAATCTTCAAATTGTCTTGAAACTTAAAAGAAAATTGTTCTTTACAAATTCACTGAAAATCGGTAGCTAAAATGGTTTGTTTAGGTATTATTTGATTTTCGTGTTAACTTGTAATTTCGTTAGTCGCCGGCATCTTCTGTCGTTTCACACACGAAAAACACACGATACCAAACGTAATGATCGATTTTGTCCTCAATCTCACGCCGCAACAGAAAAAGCTTTTGAACATCTGTAAACTCCGAGCGCTTCGCAGTAAGTGATATTTTCAATGAATCTTCGGATTGTTTTCAAGTTCAAGGATTGTAAATTACAATTTTATGAAAAACGAAGGTTGTTCTGTTATTTCAGTGTGAATCCTTGCATGCCTGCCAGTCGCTGGCTCCGCTTGTTGAAACAATCAAAGTGCTCTGTGAGCAAACTCGTGAATTGACATATGATTTTTTAGATTATGTTTAATGTTATCTGGTTTAGGGAATTTTGTGGTTGATTGTCATATCTAGAGTACGAGCAGTACTTCAGTGTTCGCTAATGTAGCATAGAAACAAAGTAACGTTGGGATAAGAAGGCATTACAATTGAAATGATCATGCTATTACATTTGACAAGGGTGGATGATGTCATGTGTTTTAAACGTCTATCATTTTTGTTTCTGGTTCAAAAGAAAAGGTTGGAAGTAAATGTGGGTGAAAAGTGAAATTTACTGTCTTTCATTGTAAATATTAGAAAATAAAGGCAATATTGTCTAATGAAAACATTAACGATTCCCTCTATATCAAATGAGAAAAAAGGGGACGAGTTTTGAGTGATATAACTAAGCCAAGCCTGCCACCGTCATCTTGGATCTCCGCCTGGGTAGATTTAAGTCACGTGCTAGGCAACGTATCATCAATAACAAGATAGAATTTCATTACAGGCCTATTTATCAATTTTGTGGTATGTAACTTTCGCATTTTAGTACGTTGTATGTATGTTGAATCTTCAAATTGTCTTGAAACTTAAAAGAAAATTGTTCTTTAAAAATTCACTGAAAATCGGTAGCTAAAAAATTGTTTGTTTAGGTGTTATTTGATTTTCGTGTTAACTTGTAATTTCGTCAGTCGTCGGCATCTTCTGTTGCTTCACACAGGAAAAATACACGCGACGAAACGTAATGATCAATTTTGTCCTCAATCTCACAGAAAAAGCTTTTGAACATCTGTAAACTCCGAGCGCTTCGCAGTAAGTGATATTTTCAATGAATCTTCGGATTGTTTTCAAGTTCAAGGACTGTAAATTAAATTATGAAAAACGAAGGTTGTTCTGTTATTTCAGTGTGAATCCTTGCATGCCTGCTAGTCGCTGGCGCCGCTTGTTGAAACTAAAACGAAAAAAAAAACTCTTTTAAGATTATCATTGGCTTCTTTTTCACCCCACCACTATTCTTAGCAACAAAGGTCGCCATTTCGTCTGTTTATTGCTCGCCAAAAACTATCAAATGCACTCAAAAGCCTAAAATCTAAAAAAAGTTTACAGGAATCGACCAATCGAGCGAGTGAGCGAGCGAATGCCATTCCCCACATCGTATCTATAACTCGCTCTTGCGCATGCGCGCAATTCACGAGTTAAAAACGAAAAAAAAAATTATTTTAAGATTATCATTGGCTTCTTTGTCACCCCACTACTATTCTTAGCAACAAAGGTCGCCCTTTCGTTTGTTTATTGCTCGCCAAAAACTATCAAATGCACTCAAAAGCCTAAAATCGAAAAAAAGTTTACAGGAATCGACCAATCGAGCGAGCGAGCGAGCGAGTGCCACTACCCACATCGTATCTGTAACTCGCTCTTGCGCATGCGCGCAATTCACGAGTTAAAAAGGACAGAAATAAAGCTGTGATAAGAGTCCTTTATAACAAAGAAAATCCCTCTTAGACAGTTGCTATCAGAGTCAGATTCTTTATCTAATCATAAGTTTACTCTAAAAAGCTAAAATTATGATGATAGCAAAAAAGCAGAATCATGATCATATGTACCACTTTCCTCTTTCACTGCCTCTCTAAGGAATTAAACAGTTTGTGCTTCTCTACAACTAACCTTGACAAAGCCAGGACTAGCAACAAGAATGCACTTGATGACTGAAAAATCAGAAAATAATTAGGAGAGTGTTGATGTTCAGCAGTAAAAAGTGCATGCATCCATAGGTTGGTAGCACATGCACAATGAAAATTTTGTGCTATGTTTAAGATTAGGATGCAAAAATCTGAACAAAAATCTGGATTGCGAGAGTGAAGGGTCATGGAACATTTGTTGTAAATTTTAAGGGGTGGAGGGGGGGGTGCTCAAGACTGAAGAGGATGGAGAATCTCTGGCAGGCACCAATTTTTTTTTTTTTACCTGGGTGCTGCATGGCAATCAAACATTTTTGCTCCAATTGGCTAATTGAACAATTTGGCTACATGAAAGTTAGATTCATAAAATAAAAAACATGAAAAAGTGGGGTTGTAAAGATATTTCCTTGCATAAAACAAATTATTGCTCAACTAGTTAATATATAAATGTACATGAAAAATTGCACAGGTCTGATTGGCTTAAAACTAGTGCATTCTCATGTAATTAGTTGTAACACAAGTGCAAAGTTTTAACATGAGTACAAATTACAAATAGCACATGCACTGTCAAAATTTATATCTATCTTGACTCTCTGATTTATTTTCATATACATTATTAACAAGTAACAACATGATTTCCCTTGCAATTTGGTATAATGGGCACTTTTCAAAAGCTACAAATTGCATTTGCCCTACTGGCTTGTACAATTTTGTTGTCTTTGAAAAATTTACTTGTGTCTATTAACACCAAATTGCACTCAAAATCATGTTATTACCTATACTAACTGTTGATTAGCACTAGCAATAGCAACTGCATCGGCAACTGGTCCAATAAAATTTTGGAAGCTCCAAGGGAAGAATCACAGATTTTCATTTTTTAAGCACTGGTTTACATGAAGAAAATTAAAAATTCTTTATGCTACATGTAGTTGCCTGCTGGCAGGGAGCATTAACAATCAGTTTTCACAGTTGATTTTTGGTTCCATTGGTGACCAGCTAGGGGCAATTTTGAACCCTGTCAGAAGGGAAGACTTTCCAGGGATCAGCTCCCTAGCAATACCATGTAATGATAGAGAACCATGACAAACATACCTTCAAAATTAATATGCCTGAGAATACCCTGGATTATAGCATCATAAAACTTAAACAAACCCTGTTTAACAAGAAATAACTCTAATTAAGATTCCAGCTGTCACAAAGAGATGTACCAAACCCATTGTTAAAAATGCTCAGGTACATTTACTTTTGAAAAAAGTGAAAACCCAAATAAAATAATTAATTAATGTAATTAATTATTAATGTAATTTCCAATTAATAGGAGCTTAACATCATAGTTATCATTTACACTGTTGTTGATATTTTGTTTATTCAATCATAATACCAGGGTCTTATAAAAGCTGATAAATGGAGGTCTACCACTGCATGTAAGACCTCTCACCATCTGTTTAAGCTGCAAGCAGGCTCTAGTGTTTGGGTTTAGCCTTATGGTACAGCTGCCTATTACATTATCGACAGCTGCAGGTAGGTATTTACCTAACATGATTGAATGTCACATGATCATTTCATATGATTGAATTAGTCCTTTGAGACCTGTATGCCTGAAAATCAAGAGCTTTTCAGCTTTTTCTTATTCACATGGCTAGAATCAAAATGGAAGTTAATCAGACTTTTGGCACTGACCTTGTCATGTTGGCCACAGAATCCTTTTCTTTTTCGTGGAATATTCATGTCAATCTTTGCTCTAACAATGGTCATACTTGATGTTACTAGGCAGATATGGCATAGACCTGAAAGAAAAAGAACACAATTTAATGACTATAGAATACTTCAATTATCGATGTAATAGGAAAATAGCTCTCAAGGAAGTTTTATTTCAGGAATTTAAGGACAGATAACTCAAAATAAATTTTTTTTAAGAAAAAATGGTAACGCCCACTTCTCACTGTTTACTCTTCACTGTTTAAAAAAAGTGGTATTAGCTTTGTTGATTTTCAGAACAAAAATTTGGGGAGTAACCCTAAATGTAATTGATTCCTTCAGTAACCTTTTTAAATTGCAGGAACAACTTTAGTCATCAAATGATCAGTAGGGTGTTAACTATAGTCTTATGGATCAGCTGAATTGAAAAGACCAGAAGTGTTGTTTTCTGCTGGCTGAAGAACAAAAAAAAAAAGCAGAAAAAATTTTTCTCATACACATCTGGGAGCCTGGGTGCAAGTTTGTGAGGGGTTTAGTGGTTGGTTGGTTGTAATTTACCAGTTTTTGGTTGCTGTTTGCTGCTGCCTGACCCTCTGCTCTTCAAGCTAAGTAGTTTTAACCATCTCAATGTCATTAAGTTCTCTCTTCAATGTAATGCAGCCTTTGTTGCCAAGGGTCCTCAATAAGGTTGTTAGTAGATTGGTAATTAAATTTTTGAAGTTTGTTGTGGCATGTAATCTAGAGAGCATTTTTACTGTTGGTTGCTCTGTTGTAACATTTTCATGTTTTTTAATAAAGGTTAAGCTGCATGGTTTGGCCTGACATGGTCTCCAGTTATTTGTGAGAATAAGCCCTCAAATGACCTACCTTCATGAAGTAAAATGGCTCCTAGATCAGCATGCTGTGCTGGGTCACAAGCCATTTCTGAAAAGTAGTAATCATATTTATCTTCAATCCCATGAAATGATTTCATAATTTAAGTTTTCAACCAAATGCATTATCTCAACTTTAGAAGGCTAAGGTTTATTTTCTGTTCAAGTCAACTCACCAACTCTTTCTAGAGCGATGATGTCCCAGTACTCTTTGATAAGAGTGAACTTTCTATTCAACTCCAAGTCTATTGTATGGTAAGCCCCCATCTGTTGGTTGTAAGACAATTTGCAACTTCCAGGTTAATCAATACAATGGAAGGGAAGGATAAATATGTACTACCAAATTGGCCCACACTCTGCATTACAATCAAACCATTAAACAGAATTTCTCCTTACAATATAAATACAATATCAACCAAGTAAGTGATGAGAATAAAGAAAAAAATCAATTTGTGGATAAAGTTGATAAGTTGATTCAATACTAAATTCTCTGAACCAACATTGTAAGAACTGTATGGTTGACAGTAAGGAGAATTAAAAATTTGATCTGGGATTTAAAGGGTTAATGAAGTGAAGACAAGCACAGCTTTTGTTAGACATACCTTAACGTACTGATTTTCTTGCACATTACGTCCATTAATCCTCAACATACATGCTTGGGTATCAAATTCAACTCTTGCTACAGCAATGCAAAGAGTTGTTCGAACTTTATTGCTGCTGACTGATCCTGTTGCTGACTCTGTTTGTACTCGCCTGACAAAACAAACAAAAAGAGACTATGATTTTTACCATAGATATTGTTAGTAGTATCTGTCTTCCTACTTTTTCTCCCATTATGGAGCACAATGTGTTTTTTTACATCAGGCTTGACCAAATATCCAACAGTTATTAAAATGTAATAGAACTGGTTATGATCAGCTCCCAGTTGGTTTGTTAGCTCAGTTAGTAGAATACTGCTCCGGTATTGCAAGGTGATAGGTTCAAGTCCTGTACAGAACCTAAATTTTTTTCAGGTTTTTTTTTTCACTACTGCTAAAGTAGTGTTTGTAACTTTGAAGATCGCTTTCATGTTCATTTCTTTATCAGTTGTTCACATATATGATTTTCATATATTTACAGTCATTGCTTCATCACTTCATGGGTTTGTGATGAACCAAAATAGTGACCAGCTCCCACTTGGCTTGTTAACTCAGTTGGTAGAACACTGCACTGGTTTTTCAGAGGTTATAGGTTCAAATTCTGTATATACCTGAATTTTTTTTCAAGCCTTATTTTCACCACTGCTTAAATAGTATTCATTACTGCAAAGATCACTTTTTTATTAGTTATCAGTATTGTAAGTAACAGTGTAATTACTTGACAAATACAGCTGAGCTTGAAATTTCAATACTAAGATAGTTGATGAAGGTGAAGTACAACTCAACTCTGTCATGCTTAGTTACTGAGAGCAAATGATCTACTTGTTTATTAAGTATACATTAATGTTATAAGTTGTCTAAAACTTAACAATAATTAGCCAGACTTATGTTTTTATTTCATTTTGTTTGCAACCACGCGTTGTTGGGCTACTTACTCTATTCACTATCTATTATGGAATAAATAGCGAGAAGCTTGGCCAATAAGAATGCAGCATTTGTGATGATAAGCCAGCATATTTATACTTATTTTAATCACTGTAAATACTTTACCTGATAGTAGTTGATCTAAGGTGATCGCCAACTGCTATTAGGTTATATGCATGCCACATATCTTCAGCCTCATCTGGGACAAGGACAACTGATCTAAAAGTGTTGTTACATGAAAACTGTAAACAGCATGTAACTAAGAAGAACAATCATGAAGGAGCATTACAAGCCATTTTTTGTATCCCAAACTTTTCCTAATCTATAAAACAAACCAATCTGCTTATTTTGGTTGCAAGTCTATGCAAGATCTGCGTATTACCCCCCTGAATCATTGTGCATACAGTTATCGCATGAAGGAATGCAATTGCAAAAACTATTGATTGCCTTTGGGTCTTCAGCTTTTTTCAGAATAGAATGGGGATATAAGGAAATCTTTACCCATTGTCTACAACGATTGGCACAAGCTGTTGATTTCATAGCAGAGATGCCGACTTCTGGAAATCTAAAATGTTGATATGGGTGATACATGATCATAACACCCACCAATTCGACCTCATCTTACTCACAAACTGATGCCTATACTATGGATACATTCATGTAATCAAAGAACGAAAGTATTGAAAATACAGCCAACAATAATTTAAAACAACATTTCAAGGGCGATTAAATTCGCCATGAAGATAGTGATCCGATTTTTCGCAGAATATGTATTTTTCATCAGACGATGGTCTTAATTCTCCTAACATCAAAATGGAAAAATGGTAGAGGTTAGTTAAAAATGATGTTAATGACCAAATTAAGCCTTAAGACGTAAAACTACTCTGATCAGTGATTAAATAGTTATTCTGATTAGAGAGCTCGAGAACTCTATGTCGGGATATCAATTGCCTTAAGCTTACGTTTCTAAATTTGTTTACCTAAACCCTTACCCAGAACTGTCTTTCTCGAAATTCTTTGCGATCAGTTTCATATTTGAAAGCTATGTCCTTTCAAACTCCCACAGACTCTCAGATGTAATAAAAATATAACTATTAAACACTGTCAGTGTACAAGCAGAGATACACCGGCCGGTACTTTGATCGTCCGCCATTATCTGTCGTTTCGTTATCCTAGACCCAGTCTTCTCTCCTGCATTGTCCCCTCGCGGTGTTTTCTCAGTTGGTAGGAGTGCAGGTGGAAAACCACAGGTAACTGTGTTTCCAATTACACAACAAGCCAGTCTTAGGCACAATTAATCCAGCTGAAATCCTGTTTGCTGTATTCACTTAGAGTTGTGGGTGCAGATTTCTTTAAATGACCTTGCCTGATGCATTGGTCATTATTGGTCAGACATATTACTGTTCAAACTGGCTCCAAATGTATCTTTATCGCAGCTAAGCATTGCCAAGGGAGAGGGAGATAGTCCATGTTCCAAACTTTTGGACCCAGAATGCAGAGTCTGTGTCAAAATTTTCAGCTGATTCGAAATTCAAATATATTTCTAAACTCAGAAATCTGTTTTATCGTTTACTAAAATCTGCAAACCTTCGCTATTTTTCATCAAGGCCAAATCTATGGATGGGCAAACTTGTTCACCCCTTCCTTATATTTTGTTTCTTGCACTCCAGAATCACTTGAATTTATCAAGTGTCAAATGGTAAGAGAAGAAGAGAGAGGGAGGAACTGAGATGTGTGTGGGATTTTTCTGTAAGTGGGTCTCATACATGCCTTTTCAATCTCCTTTCAAGGCTATTTTCAGGGATGCTACATAAAGCCCCCTCCAAAAGTAGCCTTGAGGGGAGCATCGCCTGACATTCAAAAGAAAGTTTAGGTTGCTTTGAGTTGCTAATAAGATCACGAGAACCTCTGAAGTAAAACTCCATAAACCCTTCCAACACTGTAAGATTTTATTAACACTTTTATTTATCAATGTGCTTGGTTTAGTGAAGAAACTAAAAGAAAACTATGGGGAAAACATTGCAAATTATCTTAACCCTTTAACTCCCAGAAGTAATCAACATGGAACTTCTCCCTATAATATCCTTACATTATCCAGCAAACAGGTGATGAGAATATTCAGACTTATCAAGTAGATGTTGTTAACCTGATCTAACACAAAATTCTCAAACTTAATTTACAAGGAAATGGGTAGCAGGTAGAAGAGAGAATTAACCATCAGATCTTGGGAGTTAAGGGTTAAAAAATGTTTGCAGCAAACTGACAACATTGGTATTACAATTCTTCTTTTCCTTTGGTTTGCTTACTGTGCTGGAAGGAAGTTAAAATATCTAAACGCTTTTTAAATTGGTCTTTCTTCTTATCAGTGATTTTGTCTTTCAAGAGTTTTTGAACACGAGTGACCTCGTTGTCCACATAGTCAACTCCTTTCTCCTGAATCTTCTTCATAATTTTAACATAAATGTCCCCACTAGCCTTCTCCTTTTCATCTGTGCTTTCTTCCAAGGCTTTTTCTGCTTTCTGAATGATATCAGCATAGGCAGAATTGTCACTACTCAAAAGATCGTCAGCAAGTCTGTCAAATCTCTCAATGCAATTTGGCATTCCTACAGTAAAGAGAATATAAATTAAAATTATATTCCATTTAGATTTCATTTAACCCTTTCACTCCCACAAGTGACCAAGACAGAATTTCTCCTTACAATATCAATACAATATCAAGCAGGCAGGTGATGAGAATAGAGAAGAATATCAATCATGGGATTATTAGTTGATCCAATACCAAATTCTCTGAACTAACATCATAAGAATTGTATGGCAGATAGTAAGGAGAATTACTAATTAGATCTTGGGAGTGAAAGGGTTAATTACCAAACATACCTCATTTTATTTCTTACTTATGCCAGCATCTTTTCATAACTTAATATAACGACTGCCCTCCCCCCCTGCCCCCTAATCACAATGTACATCAACCCACTACCCTCTACCTGCTGGTGGTTTTGTGGGCACTTAAAGACAATGAATAGCAAAGCCAAGAAAATAAGCATAGCATAACACTGCAAAAAAAAAAACCAGCTCCACAAGCTATCTACCTTCTAAATAATAAAAACTACCCAAGAACGTAAAGCAACAGTATGTCCTGAGATGCTGACAAGGAGAATTTATATAACAATCTAGAGCCTCTTTAGTTGGTGATCATTTCCAACTTAGATTCTTGTTTCCAAGGTTTTCTGAGTTTCATGGTAGGAAAAAAAAAAAAAAAAAAAAAAAAAAACCTATTCTGGTGGTTTGCCACCAAAATAGTTAACATACCTATCCACAGCCGTGAGTTGGTTTTCACAAACTTAGCAAGTTCATCAGCGTTCACTTCTCCTTTGAAATCAACTGGGCTGGCATCATTTTGTTTGAACAGCTTGTACACAGGAAAATCATCTTTGCTAATATCAAAACGCTCCCGCAGGTCGTCATTCTCTTTTTCACCATATTCTGTAAAAAGAAGATAACTGGACTGTCAAACCCTTACCAAGACCTACCTTAAAAATTTCCCACCCACACATGAGCTAATAAATCACAAAACAACTCGTTAATTTAAAATAGGTTTTCCTCATTAGGGTGGACAAGCTTGAATATAAATTTCCAGGTTTAAGTCATATGTGTCTAATGGTCCATCATCCATTTCCTTCTCAGTACCTAAATGTCAGTTCTCTACACCATCTTCTATACATTTCATATATCTTATCTGAGTGAGGTAATATGATGTTAACCCTTTCACTCCCAATAGTGACCAAGACAGAATTTCTCCTTAAAATATCAACACAATCTCAAGTGAACAAGTGATGAGAATATAGAAAATTATCAATTAGTGGATTATCATTTGATTCAATACCAAATTCTCCAAACTAAAACTATAAGCAGTGTGTTTGTAGGGAGAATTACCAAAGAGATCATGAGAGTGAAAGGGTTAAATCAAGCAATATTTCCTTGTTGATATTTCCATTCCTTTGCATTAACTTTCTGTTTGAAAACAAATGAATATTGTAGGGAGAAATGCATCCTTCATCATTTTCGTACCTGACACTCCAACTTCAGCTACCAACAACTCAGGCTGAGAAGAAGCTTTCTCGGCAAACTTTTTAAACTCGTCTTCTTTTTCTCCATAAGCATACTGCTTGTCAAATTTAACCAGCACTGCTTTGTGTTTTCCAATGACCTGCCTCAGAGTAAAGTTGGAGAAGAAAAAAAGTCACTTGACTAAAACAGATCGTTGAAAGAGTGACGTTCATAATTTCATGGCCTGTAAGTACAGCTGTAATAAAAATAACGCTTACGGAATACTAACAAATTAAATTTTTTACGAGGCTTTGAAAATAAAAATGAATGAAAAAGTAGAGTTTGCAGATCAAAGCTTTCAAGCCGGCCAATGAGATGAAAGCACGTTGTCCTCTTAATTAATTAACGAAGGTAGAGGATACATGTGCAAGGTAAAGCTGTTCATCACTCCATGTTGATCGGTTATTTTAAATAAAAGGGTCGTGAGAACAATAATATGTAACATATCTGAGGCTTCTATTTTTTTCTCTTTGACAAAAATGCAAGTTAAGCTGCTAAAACCATCAGCTTTATTTCAGTTTGCAAATTTGGCGATTTTGGTCAAGGACAAAGCCACACACTGTATGATTTAAAAATACCTTGTCGAAAGTTAGCGTATCCAGGGGAACAGCTCCTTTAGCTGTGCCTTCCACGTTCAGCACACCCAAACTCGTTAATACAATCGCAGTAATTAAACTGGTAAAAGCCATTATAGCAAACTCGTTCCAATAGCCTCTGAGGACAGGTCACCTACTTTCGCTCTTTTCAGCCCTTTGAGCCTTCAAATACTTAGATCAGTGGATTAACTAGTATACCGGAAATTGATTTATGGTAGAACCCTCAATAATAATTAGTTTCTTGCAAGTACTTCTGGGAAACACACATTCCCATAAGCCCACAAGCGCATCACGCGGCTTCAGCTCTTTCTTCGCAGCTGTCACACTCTCGAACGTGCTGTATTGTTAAATACTTTTTTTTTAAGGAAAGCTTGTTTTGAGTCAGATTTTGGAGCATTTGTTTTTGCCCAAGGTAAGATCAAAACACGACAACTTGGTAAACGAAACGAAGTTCGTGCGTTCCGTTTTAAATTCACACATTCTACGCTGGCTACCAAGTGACACGCTTGATTCTTTGATTATTGATCCGTCTCTTCTAAGTAGGAGTATTCTCAGATTTAAATATTGATCTCGGAAAGCTTGTAAGCTTTTAATTTAGGGAAGAACTATTAGTCTTCCAGTCAGTGGAAGCCTAAAGGAGTTTCAGCGTTGAGTTGATTCCTGAATATTTAAATTAGATGACTGCACTTGGACGCAAATAACTAACAATGTCAGGTGTAATCAACAGCTCTATTTGTAGTTAATATTCGACAGATTTTCCTATGTATATCTACTTCGACATTTTTCCTACCTTGTTAAAGTACTTTGAACACGGACTTACAACATGAAGAATCAACTGAACTTAAAAATATGTTCAGTTCACCATTTGTTCGTATTTCTGGCTAAAACTTTTCTTCGCTTACTTATGTCTGCATCCATAAGTTTTTTTTTCTTTTTTTCGGCTTATGTTCATGGTTCAAGTCTTTTAAAGGACTTGACAATGGCAATCAGGGAAAAATTGAATTGAGTTTGCAACTCATCTCTAGCTAGATGTTTAGTGTTTTTTTGAGAAAGGAAAAATAGTGACAGGTTTGGCTTATACATGGGTTTTCAGGAGTCATAATTTTTTTGTGTGAGAAAGAAAAAAATATTGTTACTCTTTTTTGTCGGTTGCCAAATGTTGAATGTGAAAAGGGTAATTTAGTATTATCAACTGAGTTGATAATGCAAATTGGCCAACCTTCAAAGCTGACATTTTGAGTGTAATACCTTTATCAGAGTGAATCATTTGCTCTGACAAAGGGCTAAAGTTCAAAATGTCAGATTTCAAATTCTTTATGTTGGCCAATTTACCTTATCAACTCAGTTGATAATAGTAAATTACCCTGTTACACTCCCACCAATGCAGCACTACAGTTTCTTTAAAAACTTACCCTCTTTATTCATTTGACTTTGAAAGGGTTGAGCTTGGAGCTGTAAACGAGAGAGCTTATTAACCCTTCAACTCCCATCAGTGACCAAGACAGATTTTCTTCTTACATTATCGATAGAAAATCAAGCAGACAAGTATTGAGAGTAAATAAAAATAAGGAATTAATAGTTGATCCAATACCAAATTCTCCAAATTAATGTTATGAGAGTTGTATAGGAGACAGTAAGGAGAGTTATAAATGAGATCTTGGGAGTTAAAGTGTTAATAGAGTTGCAGTTAAGAATCATTTTGACTTGATTTGCTTGTTAAACTGTGGTGGTTATGTTGTTGTTTCAGATGTCTGGCAGAGGTGGTCCACATACATACAAAGTTTATGTTGGTAACCTCGGGTCTAATGGTTCCAAAGCAGAGCTAGAAAGAGAGTTCGAGAGATTTGGAAGACTCCATGATGTGTGGGTTGCTCGCAATCCACCTGGATTTGCCTTTGTAGAATTTGATGATCAGCGTGATGCTGAAGATGCTGTGAAGTCACTTAATGGTTCTCGCATTTGTGGAGAAAGAGTACGTGTAGAAATGGCTCGCAACCGTGGCAGAGGTGGTGGGGGAGGGGGAGGGGGTCGATCGGTTCGCTCAGATTACCGTGATGACCGTAGTGGGGGTCGCCGTTTTGATGACAGAGCTGACCGTTTTGATGACAGGTCAAGGTCACCATATAGGTATGTTCTGTTGTATTACGATCTGCTTTTGAAAGTATTCCCCTGACAGGATTGCATTTGTTTACAAGTTTGTAGTTAATGTAAGAATTAGACTTAATCTAAAATTCTTAATTAAGTTTGTGAAGGTTATTTTTCCCTTACTGGGAGCTTCTCTGAAATTCTCAAAGGTAATGATCTGGGTTTGCCTGTGAATGACCAAGATGGTTTTCCTTACAATATCATGGCAATATCAAGAAGACAATTAATGAGCAAATACTTCTGAACACTTTCAAAAATGGCAGAAAAATCAAGGGATCGTTCTTGCTCTGAGCCTTTCAATTGTATGGCAAACAATAAGGAGAGTTACTAGTGAGATCTTCAAAGTGAAACTGTTAATTTTGAAATCCTATTAGTCATGGGATCAGTGGATGACTGATATGGAAAAAGTGTTCAAAGTACTCTTCTTTTGAAGATAAAATAAGAAATAATCGGTAAATTATCAAGCATAAATTACCTTTGCCTTTATATTTGCCATGCAATGTTTGTTATCATTCCTAGTTGTTTTCTTTCATGCTAGCTTAAGGGCTGGTTTAATGAGCTGTTGGCTTAATGTATGTGATAACACATATGAAATGTGACAGTGTTGCTGGGACTGTGATATATGGCAATTTAAAATTTGAAGCAATGCAGTTATGGGCAGTCACATTTCAAAAGTGTTTTTGTAGTTATGTCTAGAGGGCATTTCAATTGAGTGTCTCAGAAACAAGACCAAAGTAATAAGCACATCCAGTCATAAATTTGGAAAATAACAAGTCAAGCTGAAAGGAGCTCTGGGTAAAAACAGCCGGAAACTGCCAGATGCAGGGAAAACATGTGACCGATTGTGATTAAATTTAATTTTGCATCTAATTGGCTATTATGGTACAGGCTTTGTTCACCAATTGTATAGCAAGCAAACTTGTTTTAAACAATCATGTGACATTTGACACTCAGTTGAAAATTTATTTTGATCAATGTGGTAATACTCTATTGCTGATGTTCATGTCATGTCTGGGTTATTCTTTAGGGACTACTTAGCTACACTCCCAATGATAACCTCGCCCAACTTGACCACTTTCATATGGTTCTGAGCCCAGCTTCCTTCGAAAAGGATTCTCCCCAGCAGCCCCTTCTCCCAAGCCATGGACCAACAACCTTTCTTCAACTTTTCACCCACCTCCTTTTCACTTCAACCTCCCTCAGTTTTCCATCAGTTAATGGTCATTGTAATCCCTTCATGCATCCTTCCAACTCCTGGCATAGACCTTGAAAAGTGTTCCTCTACCCTTTTTTTAAATTCTCGCACACTAATTTGGTCATCGCTGCATTTCAAGACTCAAGGAGTACCCGAGCTGACATATATAGGTGTAACTTCGGAAAACTACTGGTCTCCTGGGGCATGCTATAGCGACGCATTCATTATTTTCTGGTTATGGAATTCCATATGATACTAAAGGGAAAATTCTTCAGTGTCTTGAAAATTGGCCATGGAGTGGTAAACAACAGAGCTGTAACAATACCACACTTGCTTGAGGGTGTAGTCATCTAGAGTGAGTAAGATGAAGTGTTTGCTATCTTTGGTATGCCTCTGAACTTTACATTTACTGCACTACCAACTGCAGCCTTCAGTAGGGGACTAAGTGAGTCAACTGGCTAAAACGAGAGTCATCACATCGGAGAAGCAACTGTTGCTAAGTCTTCCTAATGTCAGAAAATTTGCTGTGTTGTGTCACTCACTCACGATCATCGGTGGCAACTATAAGCTGTCAGTGACCACACCTGAAGACTCTAGAAGGAAGAACGTGACTCAAACCCTTTTAATCATGCCAGCCAATTTCTCCCTTATACAGCTTTGTGAAATTACCATTTCAGACTTCATCTTGAAGCCATAGGTAGTGTCATTGTTGTAGCTTGTGTACACTTTGGATTAAAAAGGGTTTTGTTAATAATTATGTGGGATCAAAGGAAGTTATAACTTGTAATGAAGACAAGGGAATTGTGCCGTAAGGGTATAGAATGTATTAGTCCTTGTGTAGATAAATATGTCAACCTGTTCATTTCCAGTAGGATAAGAACCTAAATTCTCCTTGATATTTCAATACATTGTTAAACAGAAAGGAAATGAGAAGTAGGAAAATTATTCACTAAGAGATATTATTTGAATAGAAGAACAAAATTCCCCATCAGAACCAACAAAGACATGTATTGTTATTAAAGAGGAAAGTTTGATATACATGTAACTGTCAGTTATTAGGGTGCTCTGTTGAAGATGGGTACTTTCATGTCTTTGTGCATCTCGTTTTAGAGTTATAGTTGTGATTATGTCATCCAAATTTAGAAACATTGTCTCATCTGTAAATGGTCTCGTTAACTGTGCACCAGTCATTGATAAAATAATTTAGCTTTAGTTTTGCTATATTGATTTGCTAAGGTAAATGGTATTGCAAACATTTTATTGGTTGAAATAATTTTGAAACATCTGTGCTTGTATTAGGAACACATTTATTGCAATTGTTTCAGAAAAATTTTATGTCTCTGCCATGGAGATTGATTGGGGTTGAAATTCCATGTACCATGTGGTTTTGGAAAACCCCCACTTTGAATTAACACTTGTAGAATGTTTTAACCACACTAGGCAAAGGGCTCTGTTGTTCAAAAAAATCAGTCAGACTTGATGCAAGTCACAACCCTGGATAATAACTACAGCACCCTTTATTGAAGTTCTTTTGTTTTTATTTTGTATGACAGGTCACCACCACGGCGAGTGAGAGGAGGAAGGTCTCCTGAAGGAGACAGGCAAGCACAATATTTTGTATCATTTATATTTAAGGTAGAATCTTGTAGGTTCATGCTACAGAAACCAGGAATTAGCTCTGGCAGACATGACCCATTGGACTGTTAGGACTGAATCCTAGTTAAAGAGTTAAAATACACAGCCCAGGCACTTTTTGCACTTTTTCGTTTAGAAGTGGTAGTTTATCTGGGTTTCCAGGGAAGGCTAGAAAATAGCTTTGAAATACAGTGAATTTTGCAAATGGTTATTTTGCATAAAGGCAGATTTGAGTACTTCCTTTGATATAAATGTAGCCTTTGGAAATGCAATTTTGTGAAGTTTTTACTTCTTCTGCAATTTTATCCTCAAGTTTATACTCTTTTTTTTTTTTTTGTCAACAGGTGGGGAGGAAGGGGAAGGAGCAGGTCTCGTAGTCCTCGACGTTACTAGTCAACTCAACCATGGTAAGGTAAACATAGTGTCAAACCTGGCATTACCAAATGATATCCAACCAGAGAGCAATGCATAACATTTAAATTTTAACTGGACCAATGAGATTGATACAATGTGAAATTAACCCTTGAACTGCCAGAAGTGATTATCATGTAACTTCTCCCAATGATATCCATACATTATCCACCAAACAGGTAATGCGAATACTGAGATATGAGGTGGAAGTTGATCTAACACCAAATTCTCATAACTGATTTGCAAGGAAAATATATAGCAGCTAGAGGGGAGAATTAGCAATCAGATCTTGGGAGTTGAAGGGTTAAAATAAAGATCTAAAAAAACTGTAGAGATAGTACTTCATTAGCTAGTTACAACATAACTTCTTTTTAAAAGACTAGTATGGGAGTCTAGCCAATGACCTCCTGCAGCTTACTTGCACAAAACATAGCATGAATGCTTCACATTTGTTACCATATTACTGTTGTTTTGTTTTTTTTTTTAATCCATATGTTAATTTATCTTTGTGGTTGTCTCATGCTGGTACTCATTCAAATCATTTGAATTTTGTTTGTACAGGAGCCTTTGTACCAATTGATTGGTGGACAACTTTGTACAAATCAGCCACCTCAACACCATGGAAAATGTTTTTAACATCTACGACTATAGCTTAAAGATTCTTTTTCACTTAGTTTGCTGTAAATGGCTGATTTTATGTGGTACCAAAAAAACTGATCTTTTTAATTTTTTCTTATTTTAGCACCAATCATATTTTGTTTAAATGACTCAGTTTACTGAAACTGTATACACTCAATTGTGAAAATGTTGACACCAAAAAAAGCATTAACAATGGACAATGAGACCTCACAGCTTTTATGGTCAGATGTACATGATAACCACCATTGGGTGCATGTGGTGAATGATGGAAGCTATCTAAGCTTTCCTGAAAGAAAGGGATTATCATAAAGAAAGGATTTTACATGAGTAACGAGAGAAGTGAATCACTGAGTATTTATCTGTGCCCACATTCCCCAGGAAGCCATTGGGTCTCATCATCTTGGATTATACTTTTTTTCGTATTCACATGTTTATGAAGGAAACTGACTGTATCAAAATTACTATACCTGTGAAACTTTTAAGATGTTGCATTTTAAACCTTTTGTTTTGTATTCATATTTATTTGTACCCTATTACTCTATTAAAGACGTGAATTAAATTCAAGCAAGAAATGATCTTGTCACCTAAGGTTCTCAAGAAAACATTACCAGTTCTACAATGAGTTTCACTGGGGTGGTGTGCTCTTCATCCTAGGATATGCTTTTCAGAGTAGAGGTTTGAAAGGGGAGGGATTCCACTGGCCTGTGCCAGGGTTTTGGTTTAAGTACATAAGGGAAAGAACAGATCAGTGAATATCAGTCAGAGGCAGGTCTAGTCTGTGCAATCCTTCCTTCCCACCACCTTTTTTCCCCTTGGCTTGAAGTCAACCTCTATTTTTCGTCTGGTCTTTGTTCTCCTTTTCAAAACACTGGATGACTATTAAGCCAATTTTTCAGTCTTTTTCACCAGATTGTTCACTTTTTTCCACTGAGTGCTTGTAATTCTTTTGGATTTCAGATATTGATGTGTAGAAAAGAGAAAGGGAAACTAAATTTGGCATGTCTTAATTTCTATTATAATTCATTGAAATTGTTACTAAAATGAACAGCTATTAAAACTTGTTATAATTTTGGAAAACTTTGCCTCTTTCTTTCCTTTGTCCTTGCATTGGCTGCTCTAGAGATGTGTTGCCTTGTGTGTTAAAATAGAGGTAATGCTTGCCATAACATTTTCAAAAAATGATACAATTTGGATCTAAAGCCTTTATCTTTAATGTGGAAGGTCATGGGGTCAGAGCCACTGTGAACCGATGTTCAATTCTAGCAGATCTGAACTTGCGCAAAGATTAAAATCAATGGAAAGTTGTTCAAATAAACAATAGCTACCAATTCATTAGTATCAAGCAGAAAGTTGATTGATTGTAGACTTGTTGTATCCCCATAGATCTTGTGAAGAAAGTTCAATTTGAGAGAATCAACCGATCGTTTTTAAAATGTCCATGTTAATTATTTTTCTTCAGTATCTTGGGGGAATCCTTATCATTATTTCTGTCGTCACATGATAAAGGTCCGTCCTCCCCACCTCTACCCCCTCCCTAACCTCTGAAAAGCTCGTTCCCAGTTTGCCCGGGATTTATAATGACCAAAATGGCGGAGTATTGGATTCATGAAATACACAAATTGCTTGAGAGTAAATGAGGGTTGTGTTTAGTCTCATAAAATGGAGAATTACCACGTGTTAGAGCTTATTGGAGAGGGCTCTTTTGGAAAAGTCTACAAAGGGCGCAAGAAATACAAGGGTCAGGTAAGGGTTGTGAAATAAGAGCTCTATGTTTTGAATTGACGGCGGGAAAACTGTCAAAATTCTTACATTTTGCACAGGAATTAGATTTTCTTCGTGGAGTTCTTCTAATCTGATATGTTGCATCACTAAAAACAGTTGTTAAAAACTAAATTCATGTTCAGCTGAAAATGTATGGCACAGTAAACTGAGGAATATGACAGCTTAATCACTGTTTACATATGGAGAGTGTTAGTACCTGTATGTAGTGCTCTTTCAACAGAACATACTTGGAAGTATAGGGTGCAGCGGGAATACGATGCAACACAAACATTTTGCTGGAGTTGTATTTTGCATTGAGCTGTTGATCGGGGTGAAGGGGTTAAGAGTTGGAATCCACTGCCTCTCATAAATCTTCAATATAGAAACTTTGTACATGACATTCAGTTATTTATAATACGCTCTATGAATTTAACTTACAGGTTGTTGCATTGAAATTCATTCCTAAAGTTGGCAGGTCAGAAAAAGAGCTGAAAAATTTACAGAGAGAAATTGACATTATGAGGAACTTGGAACATGAAAATATCATTAAGTTACTGGACTCCTTTGAAACACCCAAAGAGGTACAGTACAGAAGAAGTCTCCAGAAACTGAATAGTTTTTATTTCCACCATTAAAAATTGTCTATTTAACAAATAAATTCCATGTTGACATGCTTCTGTTCAGTATTGTATCAGTAATCTTTCACTGTACAGACCCATGGCGATGTGAGATCAATTTAAGATAAAAAAGATAAAATTTAATGATAAAAAAACTACAATGCTGTGGATGGTGACAACATATATGCATCTGTCCTCCAATAGATCATAAGTAAGAACCAATCAAAATGCATGTAGGAATTCAGCTTCTTAAATTACAAAAATTTACTTTTTGCCACATTTTGAGATTCCAGAGAGAAAACTAACCTTTCAAAAGCTGTCCTTAGATTTTAATTTGGAATACTTTCATAGTTAGGTGACCAGAACATAACCTGCACAATGTTCTATAATTGAACTGGTATGTTTGGAAGAAAATTACACATTTTAGATGGCTGTAGTTGTGGTTGTCTGGCTCTTTATTTTCATTTATCTCTTGCTCTGGTTTGAATTGATGTGGTCCAAATATTTGAGTGTAGTCTTATTGGGAACTGAAGTCTGTAATGTCACAGGTAAGTGGCTAATAAGCAATTTTGAAAATGTTGGCATCTTAATTGAATTGGGTACTCTTTGGAATCTTAAAACACTGGCAGTGAAACAGTTTCATTATATACTTTTTAATGACAGTAATAAAAGTGTTTTTTCACTTGACTATACTTCTTCCTTAACTTTGTCTATACTAGAGCTTTTGTTATCACTTAGACTTAAGCAGTTGATGCTATTACAAATGTTTAATATGTTTATTGAATCATCAAGGTATGTGTTGTAACAGAGTATGCTGAGGGAGAATTATTCCAAGTATTGGAAGATGATGGTTCTCTTCCAGAGGAACAGGTTTGTGATGAGTGTTTTTTCCATTGGTTGTCTCTATTGAAAGTTGTGGAAATTTTTTTTTTGTACACTGCCAGGACTTGGGATGATTCATATTGGCTCCACCATTACTGACCTGGCTAGCTTCAGTGTTTATGTATCAGAGTATAAACAGTTTTATTTCCCATCACACGTCATGATTTGTTTGTATGCACATAACACTTGAGGAACGCATAATATTTATTTAAATGATGACATATCAAGCTGTAGTAATTTGCAATATCAAACACAAATAAATTGTCCGAAAACCAAAACAACCCTGAAGGTGGCAGCAAAACATCTTTCCAAATAATAGTTTATATTAATTAATGGTGAGGGGTGGAATTAACTAAGTGATGGAAAACCCTAAGTAAGAGGTGTGTGCCACATCTGATAAAGAGAACTTTGATAATAAAGGGGTGAGTCATAATGCATAGCGCATTCCAAACACAGACTGAAGGGGTACATTAACCCTTTACACCCTAACATCAGTATGCATATTCTCCATACTGTTTTCTATACAATTATTCAGTTGGTGATCATTTCCTTTATTCTCATGACCTTACTATGTGATACAGGGCTTCTACTGTTGGGAGAAATTAGATGCTAGTCACTTTCAGGGGTTAAAGGGTTGACCCATCCAAGGCCAGCCTGACAGATTCAGCACTCAATGAAAGATTTCGTTTGACACCCAAGTTATATTAATTTCATTCTGAAGAGATTTAATGTTGAATTGCTTTTTCAAAAACCACTCAATAAACATGTTCTCTTAGATTTGATGCTCTTTAAAAACTGAATACCAGTAGTTTGAATTGAGACTTCATACTGTTCCATGAAAAAAACTTGTTTCACAATCTTTGAAATTTTTTCAGGTGAGAAAGATCGCATGTCAGCTTGTGAAGGCCTTGTACTATCTACACTCTCATAGGATTCTTCACAGAGATATGAAACCTCAAAATATTCTTCTTGGAAAAGGTGGTGTGGTGAAACTGTGTGATTTTGGGTATGTAGGCAAGAAGTCTTGTTCTATGGATATTCATACCATCATTGGACATTCACTGTCTCTGTATCTGCTTCTATCTTTAAACTCCCTTGACCCAAATTTTGATTCTTCTGATTGATCAATTTTGGCAGGATAAAGTTTATACATTAGTAATGAAAATCATATTTGACTTTTTTCAATATCGAAACAATAACTGTTTCAATAACTTATCACCCCATTTTTGCAACTCGATAAAAATTGTAAGCAACATTTGGGAAGTATCCTTTTGAACATAAAAATATTATTAGGTTGTCAAGCTGAGTTTTAGTTGTAATTTGTTACAAGCGTAGGTATTAAATGGCTACTATTTCAACCATGTCCAGATTTGCAAGAGCAATGAGTATCAACACCCTTGTGCTGACATCAATCAAGGCAAGTTTAAAAACTCCCACAACTAGCAAGATTGGATGCATCATTCTCCCTTACAACATCATACATTTCCTGGTATATAAGATGAGAGAATTTGACATTGCATCAAGTCTGTAATGAAAGAGAAGTTCAATCCTTGCACAATTGAAGCTTTATTCAACAAGACCTTGTGCTTATATACTGAACAACATAAACATGCTGGCCGAACAAAAAAAAGTCTGTGGACATGTACAGATTAACAACTCCGCTGATATGTGCATGGGCACTTAAACTACATAGGAAGCCTAGTAATTAAAGATTAAATTGTCACACTGTCACTACAAAGTCAACACCCTTCAGTTGATGAATCTCTTTATTCTTGCCACCTGGTTGCCACATTCATGGGCAAAACCTGTTGAGACTTTGAAAATCTGTTTTTCTCTCTTATGCGCGATGTGCTTGGTATACATTAACTTTATAAATGTCTTTATTCCATCCCCTTCAGTCAATGTTGCTATTTGTTCTGTAAATTGTGTTTATTTGGTTAGAAAGAACTAGAAACAATATTGACTAGAAGGAGGAAAGGGAAATATTAAGGCAGATGTCGGAACATTTTTGTTCACAATTGTAATGCAGATTGTGTAGTGAAATTGAAAGGATGAGTTGTGTCAATTGCTTGTGTTATCCGCACTTCTTAGTACATTAAAAAATAAAGGAAAAAAAGAAGGTAATAAAACAAAGCTAGAAAAGAATTTGGCCATATTCAACAGACACACAATCAAACCCAATATTTACCTGGTCACCACTGATTGTTCTCTTTCTTCTTGTAGGGAACTCCATTATACATGTCTCCTGAACTGGTTCAAGAGAAACCTTATGATCACAACTCTGACCTCTGGTTTGTATCTCAAATTGTACATTGTATTTATGTCTCACTGTGAGTGATTTCTCTTTTGTGCTTTAATTATTTTCTTTAGTTGAATTTGATTTTTACTTTTTGTAGATTTTCACAATCATTATCCTTTTCATTATTGTCAACACTGATGTCGTCATTGTCATTGTCATCATCATCGTCATGGTCATGGTCATCATCTTTGCCATGGTCATTGCCATCATTGCCATCATTGCCATTATCATTGTCATTATCATTACTATTGAAATTTTCAATATCATTAACCCTGTAGTTGTCATAATTTTCATTATCATAATTATTTATAATAACTACAAGGCAGTGAGAGGTAGAACTTTAATCTCTGGTTTGGAAATTTGTAACATCTCTAGTCGTGTATAGTTCATGCCAGAAAATTTAGCTCTGTACATAAAATGAAGGTTACACAATTCTGTTAAAGGATGGTACTAATTGTGTGCTACTATTAAATATACATTTTTATTAGTTGTTTATTAGATTTAATGTGTGTCAGATTCTTTATGTATTCTGAAATACCAGTATTTGTTTTTGAAAATCATTTTTGAATAACTTTTACTCTTATCCATATTTTTTAGGTCAGTTGGGTGTATTTTATATGAACTGTTTGTTGGAACGCCACCGTTTTATACCAACAGTATATTTCAGCTTGTGAACCTTATCTGCCGGGTATGTATCAATGTGTTGGTAGTAATGGTTTTTGCATAATTTTCTTCTGGATTCAAATTCTATCGGTATTTTAGAGACACCTAATAATTAAATGTTTGAACCTTGATCAGGACACTGTCAAATGGCCAGAGAATATGAGCCCTGATTTTCAGGTTGGTAAAATTACTCTGTCATGAGATAATTACGTGAAATATATCAGCCAATGACTTAAAGTGCTGGACTTCAACACATAACTAGATCAAGGTATTTTCATGGTACTGTACCACTCAGAAACTTTATTCCGTGCTTTTCTCAAATTGGTTACTCACATAGAATAATATATCAAACTGACATGTAAATTTGAGCAAAAAACAATCGTTTAAATTACAAAAGAAAAAGACTTTTGTCCAGTCATGAGCTTTATTAACAATTCCTGTGATTTCAAGTACAATTCAAATAACAACCATCAAATATATTTGTCATAACAACACACTTGGTGTTCAGAGAAAAACACTTTACTCTCACATGTACTTAATCCTCCTCAACCAAAACAAACAAAAACATATCACAATTTTTAAATGTTTTTTCAGAGTTTTCTCCAAGGCCTTCTCACTAAAGAACCCAAAAAAAGGCTTTCATGGCCTTATTTACTCAGACATCCATTTGTAGCAGATGGAATAAATGGTCAGTTAAGGTCATACTGTTTATTGAATTTACACCTGTACTTAGCTTTTGTCACAATGTTTTCAAACTGGGTTTGATTTTCAAGAGAGTGTTTACAATAACAGAGAATAACTGTGCCAAGGTTTTAGTCACCTGGTTACCACAGCTATAACATTGTGCAGTGTTGTCTTAGAGTGTATAAGCCAATTTCAGTCAGTTTTGTAACATTATTTGTCATAAATAGTATTTTCCAGATTAACAGATGTGATCGTTACATTGCAACATCACACAAAACCTGTGGTTGACTGTAAAAATACTGATTTATTTTTAAGGTTTATGAGCTTATTTCACTCAGTTTTCATATCTTATGATTGGAGTTTGTGAAGTCATGATTTCCTGATTCAGGGCAGGAAACTTTCTTTTCAAGTCACTTGTCCCTTCAGTTTGTTTTGCTTGTCTGGATCACAAGCTGATGATTTTCCTTGTTCAAATGACAACTTTTTCCCATACCATACATTCAGATGGCCCAAGTTTCCTGCCCTGAAATTGACAGGTGTGTCCTTAGACATGAGTGAGTTAAAATTCCTTGTCATTGAATCCTTTTTTTTTTTAACTTTGTGAATTAATATTCTCCTGTTTTGGTCTCTCATCAGAAGCTGAATTGGAAAGATTTAGTACTCCGGAGATGTTTGAGAAATTTGGAAATTCAGCAAGCAATGTCAATAAAACTGCTAAGACTAAAGGAAAAACTCAGGAAAGCAAGACAAAGGTTTGTGGGACAAGGCTTCTTTGTTTATACAGTTGCATTTTCAAATCTTTTTACTTAAACTTGTATGATTAAATGAACTTGCAACTAAACAGGGATTTCCAAATGATGAGTGCTAATTCCTCAACCAGGCAGAAATGCAGCAGAGATTGAATGAGCATGTTTCTATCCTCATCTTCTCACAGATCCTTGCTTACACTGTATGCATGGACCTTGAATTGAAGCCATCAAAACTAGATCAGTTTGTAACTTGCTTTTGGAACCTAAACTTGGCTGTTAAGAGTCATTCGTTTGAGACAAAAGTAAAACAAGTTCTCAAATAAAGTGTTAACCTTGTTGAAATTCATTGCATTTTGATTATATGACTGTGAAACTGAAATTTTTTTTTTCTTTTAATAACCAAAAATGCAGAAAGAGGGTGGTACTGGAGAGGTACGTCCATCATGGATAAGAAAGCTTCAGCAACAGCAGGAAGGAACACAGCAAAATAAACAGAAAGGAAATGATCCAAAACAAGAAAACAAAGAAAAAGGGAGACAGGAATCAAAAAAGAAAGCACAGAGTAATATACCAAAGAAGAAAAAGCCTCCTTTAGTAAAGGAAACAGAAACAAAACCAGCAACAAGTTCTAAAGAGGCTAAAGAGAAGGTGAAAACTATGGAAGAAAAAGCTGTTGATGGTAAGAACTTAGAGTCATTTTTTTTTTGTCAGCTGATAATTTTCATACTCACTTTGTCCTTGTGATGCTATTGATAGAAAACTGATCTGGACTATGTAACAATATTGCGTGACACTGTCACGACCTCGTGGTCCGCTGACGACATCGGTTTTCTTTTATTAAATATATCTTGTTGGTCTGACATCTTGGTTTTGTATGTGTTCTCCTCCACATTGCCTGTTCTGGCTTGTTACAGACTATGAGCAGTTAATTTGTATAGTTTTTCATAATTGGAAACAAAGATCACCCGGCAACATAAAAGGGACATGGAAAAACTTGTAATGATAGATCAGAAATGACAGAATTACTAAAGAGAAGGTGTGAATTGCAACAAAATGAAAGAGAAAGATGATAATTTACATTTTTAACATGTATGTGTAGATGATTGGGAGGTGAAGCTGGACGACAGGCCTGTTACTACTGACAGAGTAGGACATGAAATCAGTGATGACTATGACAGAGAGGTATCAGTTATTGAACAAGTCTTAGCTGCGGCAGTGAAGAGAAGAGAAGAAAAGAGCAAGACTGGCCATGGAGGACAGGTGAACAGCAAAAATTAAAGTTTTCATATCCACTGGCTGATTGAAAATTGATGATGATTTTGCAAGGAGAAGTTATATAAATCACTCCTGGGACTTAATCCTTTGATCCCAAATAGTGACTAACATCTAATCTCTCCTTACAATATTACCCCTGAATCAAACAGTAATGTTGTGGGAATAAAGGAAATGATCACCAACTGAAGAAGCTCTTGACTTTTAAACAAATTCTCCTTGTCTGCACCTTAGGAAATGTCTAGAGAACAGTATGGAGAATATGCATACTGATGTTAGGGTGCAAATGGTCAAAGGGTTGAATATTTATTATTTTTGATTAGGAGGAACTTGATAGTGAAGAAGAATGGGACTACCTTGTGGAACTGACTGACAAGATTGTGACAAGTAGTTCTCAAAAAGACAGCAGTGAAGAGGATGATAGGATTCCAGAGAAACTTATGACTGATGCAGCTTTTATCAGTAAAGTGCAGAGTTCACTAGAGACTGTGGCAGTACAAGTCTTAGATGGCCTGCTGGAGGGAGCATCTCGTTTTCGACAAATTTTGAGAGTGTTAAGAAGTTTGTTGATGACTGCTTGGTAAGTAGCTCTTACATACATACCTTTGTTTTTTGTAGTGATATTAACCTTTCAGTTCCCTGGTCTGATTTGTAACTCTCAGTGCTATTTGTTGTGCAGCTTGTTGCAGGTTGCTTATTATTTCTTAAGACTTTTGTGTTTAATGGAGATTACATGCTCAAGTTGATAAGTGCATCTATCCTCATCAGCTGTTTGCTGGTTAATGCTGTTGAGGAGGCTACTGAATTTTGTCCATAACTTGTGAAGTAAAGATTCTCACCAGTTGTCTGCTGGTTATTGCCATTTATTATGTCAATGACTTGTGGAGTAAAGGGTTGAAATTAAATCAAGATACTTATTCCTACTTGCTAATTTGCTAAAAGAGGTTAAGTCTATGTCATATTAGATTTTCATTGTTATTAAATTCTAAATATCTCTTATGCTACTGATGATTTTTAACCAGCTGTCTATTTCACATTAAAAATTTAAGCCCACCAGAAGTTAAGTTCAAATTTTCAAGCTCACTTGGTATTCCTGAGGACAGTGTCACTCTCTTGGTACAGTTGCTTAGAAAATCTGGTCTTTCTGAGGTAAACATTACATATTTTATAATTATACCTATAGATATTGCTCATGGATAGATACTGTAAGACAGCCAAAACGGTCAGCTCAACAACAGATTTGAGATTAAGATTTACAGGTTTATTAAATCAAGACAAACAATGAAAACAATTTAAAAAAAGGGGAACAAGCAAGACATAGGTTATTGATAGCTGTGCATGCTAAAATGGCTGGAATAATTCTTTAGAAGACTACTGAAACTGTGTGTGATGAACCAACTGAAATGAACTGATTTACTGAACAGGAAGTAGCCAATTTATGGGGGAAAGGAAGAAAATATAACAAAATCTATAAACTAAATAAGGCTAGGGAGTGACAGTTGTACGTACATCTACCGATATCTACAGGGTTAACAAAAAAGAACTATGATTATTAAGAAGAAAGTATCGAAAAGAATGCAATTGGTATCTCTAAATTACCTGAGTGGAAAAATAAGAAGAACCAAAAATATATATGTGAAAATACACTTAAAAATACCCTCAAGTAACCTTGTCACATTGTTCTAATGATTTAAAATTAACGTCTGTTTTTCCTCAATGTAGCAGCCATGGGCAGTCCAGGTTATTGTGGATTTGCTGAATTTGATGACAGTTTACCTTAGGAGCTGCATTCCTTTAGGCAGTGACTTCATGAAAGAAAGGTGAATTAGATCGCATTGACTTTATATTTTTGCCCTTTGTGTGCTCATAACATCATACACAGAGATGAAGTCCTATTTGGTCTGTTATCATTATCATTATCATTCCCACTTAGAGGGAGTCCATTGTGTCAATCACGAGAATGATCAGAGGCGTAGCTAACACTTTAAAAGATTTCCACGTCTTATCGTTATGTTGCTGCTCTATCATATGTGTCAGTAGGTTCATATTCATGCCATATCATTTATGGTTTCCTTACTTTGAAATGTAATTCTGCATATGACTACCCTTTTTCCCTTTAGTTCAGCCATTTTGAGCTATGGAAAGCAACTTACGGGTGTTTTACCAACACTGATGCAGCATAGCCAGGACAAAGAACTCTCCTTACGACAGGCAGCCTTAGAGGTGTGTTCCATATCGTGTCCTTACTGGTAGTTCACTTATCTTGGAGATTCTTGGCCCTTTATCCTTACTTCCAAGAATCACCATGATTTTTTTATTTAGTTAATTCACAAAGAAACTAGATGTGATTACTGGGCACTATTTTGCATGAAAAATTTTTATGTTAACAAGCTGTCTTAAAGTTGAGTTTCGTTTGCCCATCAAACGTGAGGACAAATGTAAGGGTTTTTCATGATATTAGAGGACTGAGATGACAAAGGTTAGTTATAAAATAAAATAATCTTCTGAGTAGATGACATGAAGCTTTTTCAAAGAGTAAGGAAAGAAGTCGGCAATTTCATTGGTTTTTACTTTACTTTCCCCCCGTGTGCTACGTTTTCAACCAATCTGATTCAAAGCTTGACGTGACTTCTCTTGTGCAAACAGTGCGTTCAGTATCTATGTGAAGTGATAGACAAGCACGATGATGCAGTAGCTGAAGAGTTCTACGACAATCTTATTACCTGTGATATAAAGAGCGTGGATTGCCTCATTTCTGCGCTTCATGGGGAACCAAGTGCCATACAAAGAGTTAAAGGTACAATTTATGGTTCAGCTCCATTCGAAAAATTTTCAACTGAGCATCGAAAGTAATCTGGCATTGGTTCGGGTTTGCTTTACCTCGCGATGTGATTGGTCCATAAAACACGCACCACTTTCTTAACCAATCAGCTTCAAAACTAAAACCAAAAGAGATTGGTCACCTACATTTTCCCGCTATGAGCAGTTTGCTTGTTTATACTTTGAATTCTGATTGGCTTTTTGTGATATTCTCTTTTCTTGTTGAAATCACGATAATTATTTTTGTCCTATGTTATTCAGTTCAAAAGTGCCTATCTAGGTTTCAGAGATATATAGGACTAAAGGTTGGTGTAGAACTGATTCCGATTTAGTGCCATAAAACCATAACCGAAGTAATCACAACGGCCAGTCAATAAGAAGGAGCCAATAAGGACGCAAAGGACAGCGCGGGAAAACGCGAGGGACTAATTCGCGATAAGTTTTAGTTTTGAATCTGAATTGTTGAGAGAATAGCGCAATTTTTGTGGACCAATCACATAGCAAAAGCAAAAGCAAAAGCAAAACAAATCCTGATCACTTTCGATACTCTTTGCTCTATTTGACTGCGGATCGAGGGTCTTTTTCTGTCTTTGTCGATTTGTTGTGTTATGTTCTTGCACAAGACACATAACTCTCACAGTGTACTTTTTACGACTTTGAATTTTTTTCGAATTAGGTGCGATCAGTGATTCTCCATCTGCAAGGGCGACGATAATGCGCCCGCAAGTTGTTGCTTTAACGACGTTACTGGCTCTGGTGACCTCTTCAAAGACTACAAATAGCAAGTCCAACACAAAAGGAAACTTAGCCAGCTTTGTAGCAAAGAAATTACTTCACCCATCTAATGAAAACTGCGTGGATCTTCTACACCAGTTTCTACACCACAAAGCCTCGTCTTTGTCAGTCTTGAACTTTCTTGCTGAACTTTGCATGGTGTCCAGGGACTTCAGTCTGCATCTTACGAGACAAGCAAAATGGATAGTTTCGTTAACAAAGTGTTTAACAAGCTGCAATGGAAAGGATGCCAATTGTAAAGAGACTTGTTCTGTTTTACAAATTTTGTGTTGCATGGTGACGAATGCAGAGAACATTCCTACCGAGTAAGTGTACATGCAATTGCGGGTTCAAAGTCCGAGCAATTTTCACGTGAGCGTCGAAAGTAATCTGTGATTGGTTCAGAAAACTGATGCCACTTTCTCAACCAATCACAAATCGCGGCTTGGTCGCTTGCGTTTTCCCTCGCTTTAGGCAATTGGTTGTTTTTACGTGGAATTCTCATTGGCTCTCAAATGTAGTTTCCTTCCTCTGACTGACCGTTGTCGTTACTTTGGTCTTGGTTTTACGAAACTCAATCAAAAAGCACTCTTTTGCTGGTTAAAAGTAATCTGGTCTTACTGCTTTACTTCGCTTTGTGATTGGTTTAGAGACGCATCTGCTTTGTTTATTGTCGCAGGATTTCCGATTGCGCAGACCACATTGTCTCCATTTTCACTGGGACAAGTGTGTTTACAATCCAAGTTCTGTCAGCCATGTTGCTTGCGAGACTGACCAGTTCAGATCCCAAATTGCAGTTTGATCAGAGTGAACAGCTTTTAGACGCCATCGCTACAGCTCTGACAGGAATTCCACCGGTAAGTGGTCAACAGCTCCTCTAGCAACCTAGCTAACTTCTCTGAGTTTCAACTTGCTTGCGCTTTTCCTAAAAGGGGAATGAGCCAGTAGTAGTGTTAGAGGGCATTACAGTATACAACCAATCAGAGAAGAGAGTTATGTACCGCTCGGTAAAAACGGAGAAATCATATGGCTAGTGTGACAGCGTGACTCCTTACGCCTGAAAACGTGAGCCTTGCATGTGATAGCGTTGCACTTGGGTGACAATGGGATTGCGTTACATCAAATCGCCATTTTGGATGGCAATACGAACTTATGACTGGTTTATTTGTACCACATGGTACATACTCCTCTTCTCTGATTGGCTCTGTATCATAGTGCCCCATAGTGTCGGTCAAAACGTCTCACTGAATCAAATGGTTTTTTTTTTCAGATTCCACAGATGCTTGTTGGAGTCAATGGTGGCCTTCTGGATGGCTTTACAGAGTTGCTAGAATATTGCCTCATGCAGGTTTTTAAACGTTTGCTCCATGTTTTCTTACCGCTTCTTTCAGTTATAACTGTGTGTACTTGTATGATGTATCTAAAATTTAACGGTGAACATGTAGTGCGAAAAAGACCGTGGTTAAAAGGTTGTTCGGTCCCTCTCAGTCAATCGGATGGTGGACCAATCACGATTTGGTTGCTCACGTTTCCTGCTTCTCAAGAAGTGCGTCCATTGGGCTACGTTCGATGTCTTTTGTTGGAGACGTATTCAGTGTTCTCCCTTATTTTAAACACGAAAGTTAAAATAAATTCTCAAACCAGTAGGGCAATCCTTTTTTCGGTTGCGTTTCAAGAATTCTAAGCGATTCAAGACAGTAATAAGAAGTGCTACTGGTGTTAAATTTTACCGATTACTTTGTACGTACAGGATAGTGGGTCCAGGGTGCATTACCAAGTTGTTGAGAGCGGTCTTTGGAACAGTGTATGGTGTGCAGTTGGTCTTGCTCTGAATACAGAACCAGAGGAAGCACTAGTTTTGAGGTAAGTTATTATTTATCGCCTTAGAAAGGGGCAGAGGGAATGGCGGGGGGGGGGGGTCACAAAAATTTAAAATTCCCCGACCCTCACCCCTCCAGAAGTACTAGTTTTGAGGTAAAAGATCAGTCACTATTTATCGCCTGGGGGGGGGGGGCAGAGGGAGTTGGGGGATCACATAAATTCATAATCCCCCAAACCCCCCCCCTCCAGGGGCATTAGTTTTGAGGCTAGGGATCAGTTATTATTTACCGCTAGGGTGGAGAACAGAGGGGATTGGGGGCTCACAAAAATTCAAAATCCCCCGGAGAATGGAGAAATGGAAAATTTACGTTTTTATTTTGTTATGTGATTTATGTCAATGAGCAGTAAAGTTATCAAGGTATGATGTTCTCATGGAAGTTGATAAAAGCGATTCATTGCTAAATTTTCATTTCTTTCTCAGAGATTTAGAGGCTGTGATGGAAGAAGTGGACGTCAGAGTGGGTGTTGTTCAGTGGGGGGTGATATCACATATTGGCTTAGAACATCTCTTACGTGTTTCGCATGACCTGTTTACCAAAGTAAGTCTGAGTATCAAGGAAGTTTGATGACGTTTTCCGTTATTTTTAATGTTTTGTTTTCTACGTTAATTAGAGTTGAAATAAGTTTCAGTTGGCCAAGACTGAGGTAGAATTTATTTTTTCTTTATTTAGGTCCCGTTGCAGAGTATATTGAAGTTTGTTGAACCTCCTACACATGCAGTCTCTTGTTTGATTAGAATGCTTACAACACCGTTCGTGGAGCAGCTATCTAAACAGTGAGTGTTTCAGCCTTTACTGGGAATACTCTATTCCTACTCTTCTCTGACCATAATACCATTCGGTGGCTCCGGGTCGAGAGTCCTGGGTTCCATATCTAGTCGGGTCAATGTGTTGTGTTCTTGGGCAAAACACTTCAGTCTCACCATGCCTCTCTCCACCCAGGAGTACAAATGAGTTCTAGGGAATTGTCAGGGAAATCGTCTTCTCTTCAGTGCCTCTACGTGGGTGAGAAAAAGTAAGGGGGTCACTTGCACCCAGAGCTCCACGAAGAGAATTTTAATTTTCTTTTTTTGCATGAACCTTTAACCTTCAAGTTGAGGATCACTCGCTGTGTTATTAAGTAAATGATAATCGCGTTTTAATTTCAACGCAACGATCTTGTTTTTATCTTCCAGTTTAGCTAGTTTTACGTATGAAAAGAAAGGAGATGAAGGAGATGTCCTTCAAGCTTTTATGAGAAAGGTAATTTTTTACAATCCTGAGCGTGAATTCTATTCTGATGTTACAAATCTTACATCTTTTTTCTCGAATTGGATCTCATGGTATAGAAGTGATTATACCCATAGTTTACCTATGGTAATAGTCATCGTTACTTTTTGTCAACCAGTAAGACCAGGTCTGTGGTAATTCTTACCTCAAAAATCTTGTTCATCCCCAAGGGGTAGGGTACTTCCCAGAGTTGAATGTACGTGGGTTCCTCAACAAAGGATTATCTTTTTCAGAATAGTGATTTACGACCAGGGAAGGGGGGCGAGGGAGTTAGCGAGTTGGGGTAAAGAAAAGAGTAAGGAAAACTGTTATTGATGTGCTAAGAAAGCGTTTAATGATAGATTTGAAGGGCTGCTCAAGAAAAAGAGAAGGAAAATGTACATCTTTTTTCCTCGCTTTTTGTCAAAAGACGCTACAAGGGTATGGTGCTTTGTTGTGGGTACATCATAGGGGGAATCATTTTCCATGGGAAGGCTGTTTGGACCTAAGTCGTACACAAATGGGTAACGGTTTGGCTCGGAGCATCCCTGTACCAGAGATTTTAAAGAACCGTTTCTGCCCGGGGGATTAACAAGCACAATTAGCTTCAAAGTTTGGCCTTATTTGTTGAGACAAATAAAACGTCCTTAGCAAATGTGGTCGGCCCACGTAACTGTTCCGCACGATTTTATATACTACTTAAAAAAAAAAAAAGTTAAATAGTTCAACATAGTGTCTAAGCGCTTGTATGTGATATTCGATGTGCTCCATAATTAAGTAATGCTTAGCGCTCAACCATCGAGTTATGGATGCACGCGGGAGGTTGCTACGCACGAAAGTAGCTAAGAGTCGCACGAAGCGATAGCCGAGAGCGACTCTAGCTTCTTGAGTGCTTAGCAAACCTCCCGTGTGCATCCATAACTCGATGGTTGCTTGCTGCACACTAAACATTTCTTTTAGAACATTGAGACTTTCAAACATCTTTCGTTTCGTGTTGAAAAAAGAAAAGTAAAACAAACTGATGTCAGCATGCAACCCACGGGTAAAAGAAAAGGATGGAGCGTATCAGCTATTCAGAGCGCGCGCTTTTGTAAAGCTAAGCTATTATACGCATTTCCTTCAGTCATGACCATTCTATGAAATTCTTTGCAGATCATCAAGATTTTCTACTTCCCGTTTGCAGTTGACATCGAGGAACATCTCCTTCACGATACACAAAGGTGAACACGGCCACCGTGAACATGTTTTGTCTTGTGTGGGGTATCTTTTGCTTTATACTAAAACACTTTCTGTCTGTGTTCTCTTACACAAGTACTTTGTACGAACACCGACTTATTCCTAACCTGCTGGAGTTTTCATCAAAGTTTTTGCCTGTAGAAGACTTGGAGCTTGCTCTCGGTAAGTAAGATATGCGATCTTGTCGTTACAAGAATTTTGGTGTCAGACAAGGAGTGGGAAAAACCGAACAGGGCTGATAGGAGCGAAAGGGGGGGGGGGGTGTACACCTCCTGGACCCTCCCTTTAGATCTGACCTTGCCTTTTTTCGAAGATGATTAATACTTCACTGTTATTCACTAGTCACGGGAAAAACGTGACAACTTATCTGAGGTCTGGTGCGTTGCATCCTTATATTAAGAAAGCAAAAGTTTCCCAAAGAAACAAAGTGATTTTGTTCGCAGCTTATTCCTGTTGATTCTTTTTATTATTATTATTATTATTATTATTCTGTGTGCATTTTCAGGCCTGATCGCTAGGTTGGTTTTTAGTGATGAAATCTTTGTAACACAACTAGCAAGAGATATCACAAACCAAAAGGTAAACTTCCACTCTCTCTGAACTCCACGTCTGCTGTCCAAGAGAAAAATACCAATGATCCTGCTCAATGAGTAATCAGAGGGAAGCGAGATTTTTCTCATTTTAAGCGGATTGTTGAAGAAATGAATATTTTTTCTGACTTGTTTTCTGACCTGATGCTGTTCACAAATATTACAATTTTTATAAATTGTTTGGTTAAATTAAGGATGATTTCCATGCCGTTTTTCCAAAAACGGCTTAACCCTGTCTTAATAACCGGCCCTCGTACTTAAATATTTCATCTACAAACTTTACGCTCGTATGTTTTTTTAGTCACCCTTTCTGACCTAATGAACAAGTTTAATTGGATGACCTTTTAATTTTACTTTAGGCTGAACCTTTCCTAACTTCACTGGTGTCAGCAGATAACTCTGTTACTCTCTTGAATGACGTCATTACGATTTTGAGTCATGTATCTCGAAGTTCTTCCGAGTATGTTGCCATGGTTACAAGAGTCTTGCAAGGTGATCGAGGTAAGGTATAATATGTCAGAGGTATTGAAATTATATGAAATTTTCTATTTTTCTTTTTTTGTAAAGCTTCGATAAAGCCGAGTCTCCCTTTCAGAATCATACGAGCCCCTGTACAATCTGCTCACACACACGAGTTCGGCTGTCAGTGCCAACGCCTGTGGCATGCTGGGTAATATACTGAAGCACTCTGCCGTTTTTTATCCTGTTCTTCAAAGGTAAGAATCATTGACTCAAACTGAAGAAGATAATTTGGGATCTGACTTCTTTTTTTAATTATCATTAGAGCTTTCCTTTGCTCTTTGTTATTATTTACAATTAAGTTGCACAACTAATAAGGTCGATGAAATCGTGTGAAGCTCATCGTCGATATTACTGATTGACATTACGAGGAGCCAATGACAGCTTAAGTAAATGACGTAAACAAGTTGACTTAAACCGCGGGAAAACGTGAATGGCGACGGCGTGATTGGTTTCACTTTCGCATCTGATTGGTCGAGAGAATGGAGCAATTTTAGACGACCAATGACAGAGCAGGAAAAACGTAGCGATTCAGGATTTCTTACGACATTGTATGATCAAAATCAAGAGGAACATTTTGAATTTCCATTTAGAAAAGTACTTTAGCCCTCTTTACCGAATTATTACACATTACTTTCTTTACTTGCAGAACGAATTTGTTGTCAACTTTGATCAGCTGTCTGAAGAGTGATGACGCCAATGTTCGAAAGGTGATTTGTTACTGCTTTTCTTGATCTGTATTGTCTCGAAGAAGGTATGGATTTCAGAGGCCAGATCTGAAAACAGGTGTGGGGTCAGGGTTTGGAGAATTGGGCGGCACACATCTACCAAGAATTTTGAGGAATTATCCTCGCCCTCGGGGTTCACGCAAACGGGTGTCTGTCTTGGAGCCGTTTGTGTAAGAATGCTACAGTATTGCAGCTCAGTTTAGGTGAATGTAGCTGTTCCTCAATTTTTTTCTTTTGGATCTCTTTAAGGATTAATGGACACTTGTGTTATCAGATGTAAATTTGTGGTTAGCATTTGTAATAAACGCGAATCCCAGTCAATCTAATATTGTTTTCGCTCGATTTATTCGGTTACATATCAAACTATTGGTTTTAACAGTTCCTTTCTAGGACCTATCATGCTGCCCCAGGAGCTTGATCACGGCCAGTGCATCTTGGAAAATTGAGCCTGGATTTTTCAAATCTAAAACAACTCAAAATATTACTGCTTTCTCCTTTATACTCCTTGTCTTTGTTTTGTTATCTTTGTTCAGGCCGCCACTTTTGCTTTGGGAAACGCAGCGTATCATAGCGACTCACTGTACAAAGCTCTGACACCAGCTGTACCTCTTTTGGTTGACTCACTAACAGACTCGGTGGCGAGAACACGAGCTAATGCAGCAGGTGAGAATCTTGTAAAACTCTCTAATAGTCTTATAGAATAAATGAAATCCTTCTTAAAAATTAGTGCAATCAGTTCCAATTCCAATTTGTACCCAATTTATTGACCAGCTCCCAGTTGGCTTGTTAGCTCAATTAAAACCGGTATCGCAGAGTGAAATCAGTTACAACTACTAGTTTCGGTAGTGTTCTTAGCTGCATGGATCTTCTAATTTCAACAGTTCCAATTTCTTGGCCACTGATAAATTGATATGCAAGCAGTTCACAAGACTTGTAAGGGGAAATCTGCTCACTGGTAAAGTTTGCCTGTCTTCATATTTCGCTCTTAAACGGCCGTGTCTCGATAAGAAATATCAGTTTAATTACATTCTTTCCATGTATGCCATTTGTCTAGCACCACAACCATTTTTTTTTCTTGGACTGACAAGGCCATATGACAAGGTTTTGCAAAGGATTGTGTGGTATTGAACTGTGTGGACGGCTGGGCCACTTGCTGAGTTTCATTCCTAAAGAGGGTATGCATCTGTGATGGTGCTCTCGTTGTCGTTAGGAAAGGGATAACGGGACTCTGCGTTCCTCCCCAAGATTTTTTTTCCATGAAGACTGCTTATTGATGGTGATATATCCTAACTTAGGGAATTGTTTTCATTGCTCTCGCTGAGTGATTTGTTTCTATTCCGCGCAGGCGCTTTAGGTAATTTGGTGAGACATTCGCCGTTGCTCTATCAGCAGTTAATCAAGGCACAAGCACCACATGGGTAAGGAAATTGTTACTTTTGAATCTTCTGCAGTTCTACCTTGCAGTTCGGATTTGAATTCGTGTTTTAAAATTTACTTGAACAATACTGATTAGTTCGAGGACTTCTTACTTATCCTGTTTTAGTGTTCTCGACATGGCCTGCAATGACGGACACGCTGAGCCTCAGGATGCAGCTTTGAAGACTCTAAGACTTTTCTGCAGAAATCCTCGGTGCAGACAGGTTTGTTAATGATGGACGTGTGCTCCAAATCTTTGTTTTTGACCAGCTCTTTGCTGGATCTCCTTAGCTTGAGAGAAGGGAGGTTTTTATGTTAGGGAATCGTTACCGTGGAGAGATACACTGGACTTTTAGAAACAAGTCTTTTCCATCTCTTTGCACTTTCTTTTTCGCACAGGTCCTTGTATCTCTTGGAATTCAACAACGGCTCCTCAGGTTCCTGGAAAGATCCCGGATGTCTGGAGCCTGCAGTCAGCAATCCAGCGTTTCTTCAGTTCCCAGTACTGCGCGGACTAATGATAGTGTAGTATCTGAACATTGTGTTCGCATACTGAACAAGCTTAAAACACGAGGAAGTGACGCTTAACTAAACCAAAAAGACAGTGAAGAAACATCACTACGATGATGAAGGCTGTGGAAACCTGAACAGTTGATCTGAAACCGCAGAGCGGCGTTTGACAAAAAGAAGTGGACTAAGAAACACTTTTCGTGTCAAGTATGACAAAGGCAACTTACAGCTTGCTCTGGTCATCAGTGCGTTTTGCGATTGAGTGTCGTAGAATCAACACCAGGACTATAACAACAAACGGAAGTGTGACAAGGAGCCAGTACTGGAAATTCCTATGTTAAAACCAGCGAAACTGCCTAAAGCGCCGATAAGCGTGAGTGTCAAAAATGCGATAAGTCGTGGTTTTAAATATGACTGGTCGGTTGGAACATGCAAGTTCTCTAACTAATCACAGAGCATGTGCATGCAAAACCGACGAAATTCTGAATTACTATCGGCACTCCACGTAACAAAGATTTAATTTACCTACAGAGGAGAAGGAGAGTTCTTTCAGTGAAAAACTATCCAGGGAAGATACAGATTATAGACAACAAAAAATAGGTCACCCATAGGTTATCACGTGAGAGACATAACGAATTGCTGGAGAGACATGAGGGTACTACGTGACGCACATAAGGTTATCACGAGATGATGTGTGTGCCGAACACAGAAAGAAATCACTAGGCCTGCTGCTCTTGGCGTTTGTGTTGAGGGGGGTAATCAGAAATGATGAAAATCTCTTTTCATCTCCTAATTTCAGTACATTATCTAACAAGCAGGTTGTAAAAATAGAGTAACTTATTAGCTTAAGGGAGTTCTCTTGATGCAGCACCAAATTCTCTTAACTTTATTTGAGGAAAATTTTTAACAGCAAGAAAAGAGAATTACGCGTTAGTTCCTGGGAGCTTAAGCGTTGCAAAATAGGTGAACGGGTCATGCTTAGTTATTTAGTTCTGGTCAGCGGCTGTTTTCCTTCAGATCAAAATACGACCTGGAGGTTTTTAAGCCAAAGACAACGTTGTATGCAGTTATTTAGATTTTTGTTATTTTGCGCGAAGGCCAAAGACAATAAGGAGTTCATCGACTTTTTAGAAACGCAAATGTTATCAGAGATGCCATTTCTTAGAATCGCACTCACTTAAAGGAAAATACTGTATATATTCAAAAATATATATTTACTGTTTGCTAAATCAACAGAAGTTATTTATGACTTAAGAGTGTTATTTCATTGACTTATTACAAATATAAGAGTTGATACATGTTCTATTTGACTTCTCTGGGCGTTATTTTTTTAAGTGTTTACAAACTCAAACAAAAGTTTGTAAGCGTGTAGCGAGATCTGTTTTCCGAAAGCATTTCACTTCCCTCGACACGCCCATAACACGGCAAGCAGTTAGTATTTAGAGAAACAGACAGACCTCTTTTATTCCGAAATGTATGGGAAGGGATGGTTGGGGCATAGGTGTCGTTATCACGTGCCTGGCGCAACACAGTGGTCAAACGTCTGCGCACGTGCGATCGTTGTAAGGACTGGGAAGCGTGCATTCATGTTATCAGAACCAAGTTGTCTCACAGGAGTTATAAAGAACCGCACAAGACAGTTACTCACGGTTTTCAATAACTTTATTACATATTTGTTAAAGCTCAATCAACAGGAGAATCGTAATTGAATGAGCCTTGTGGTAGAAAAGTCTTCAGTTTTTCTTTTCCTTCTTTTCGTTCCTTTTAAGCAAATCTATCTCGACTTTTAGAATAGTGTGCAAGGGAAATGGCGTGTGGGTGACCACTATTGCTTCACTTGCGCATGCCTGATGTGTAACCGCTGTATTGTCTAGCGCCGTCGCGTACGTAAGGAAACAAGTTTCTTTCAAAAATTGATTTTATTTTTTCAGATCACGTTTTTGCGGACAGGTGTTAAAATATATATCGTACGGAAATATAAATTTTACGACAACAAAAAGCTAGATGATTGATGTTGAATTTAAAATCTTTTTTTAAGCCACGCAGTACGCTCAAAATTTCCATATGAATAAAAAACAATCTCCGGGACCAACTTGGCAATTTTTTCGGCAGACATCAATAGCTTTCTCACTCTGAAGGCTTAGCTTTAGATGGCACATTGTTCCCCAACACAGAATAATAAATATATCTGACTGTCACAAGTTATTTGGGGTTTTAGTCGGTACTTTATGCCGGGAAATCTTATAAGTATCCCTGACTTTTGATTTACAGTGGTTGGATTAGTCACGTCACTGTCTGATGGATAATATATTTGAAATTATGGGTAAATAAAACGAATGAAATTTAAGTTAAATTTTTTTCAGCAGTATTTTCATCCATTCTTCTTTAGAACTGCGTGTTCAACTCGTCAAGGAAAGAGTAAAGCGGAGGAA